CGCCTTTCTCCCTTACAACCAGATACCAACCTCTTCGCCTTCAATGCTGGGTCGAATCGATCGATTGAGTAATCACCCAACTGGTATGACCTACTCTGTGTTAGAGGTGGCCGGCCACAACCACGGAATTGTACATCACACCCATCAGCCAAATCCGGACCGAGCAGTGTTCGAGCGAGCTCTCCCGTCTGCCCTGCACGGTTTACGTAGATGACAAACCGTAACGGATCGTCGCAGTCGCAGCTTTAGCCTGCGTTGTTACTCCAGTAGTCCAGCTAGGGTGATGGGAAATCTGGACACAAGGCACTGTCCATTGTCGTCGGTGTTGATTATGCAAGCTCGATTGAAGCCGCGCAGTCTTTCTTCTCGCAATTCGCTACTGACGCCGCTGATAGATCACTCGTTGGCAAAGCGCGTTCGAGATTGAAAGGGATGTGTCGACCGTTTTCGCTGAATCTCATCGCCACGAAGCTATCGACCGCTCGTGTACGTGAAGGGGGCGAGATCTGGTTGGGGTTAGAGACACGGCAGTGCAACGGGTCGATTGGACGAGGGCGACATGCTCCGCCGTGTATTGGAGCAAGAAAGTGTCGTTTGCAGGCATCGGAGCAGAGGAGAAATGCAAATATCGAGGAAGGATCAATTGATCCATCGTTGTCGTTGCAGGAGACTGTGTGATATAGTAGCCCTTGACCGCCATAACTTGAAATTGGATAATGACACACGGGTGACATATACAAGGCACGGGATTGGACGCTGAGAGATTTCGGAATTTGAGTTTCTCTGGAGTGCCGACCTTGGCGCATTGGCAAAGTCGACATCTACTCTTTCAGTCTCTACAATCACAGGCCACAACCCGAGTATCCAAGGTCTATCTATATACTAGACATACGTACCGGGTGCGAAATGCGCTTCAATCTGCTATTCCGTCTATCAGTGTGTGGTAATGCAGTGGCAAGACCGTATTCGACGGAGATACTATAGCATTTGAGATACTGGAATGGCCCTCTCCCAGGCCGTCACTCCCACTAACAGACAGAACGACATGTTTCTTTGGCGTCCGCCTATATCCACTGTGGCATATTTCCCCCCACTGACTGACCACGCTATGACCGGGCTGTCTGCGGTCAAAGATACTTTCAGCATCGGAAGCTCGTTGGGTCGTGGCGAGGGAGTCGATGGCGATTATAGCATGCAGAGCGTTAAGGTCCTCAATCCACACCCGGGGGCCGCACTGCTGATTGCCCGAACAACTGGCTAAGTTGTACCTCTTTCTATCGTGAGAAAAGGAAGACAGTCGAAACTGAAAAATCTCTTGTCAATTGATTGATTTTATTTTCTCTCGTTGCTTTATCCCCAGCACTCCACGTTTGTCCTTCCTGGGCTTCTTTCGTTTGTACGTTGTTTTGGCTGAGAGTATGGCTGTAATGACACGGAACATGGCTCGATCTGCCCCGGATTCGAACGAGCGAAGACCGATCCCGGTGACTTTGGTCTCTGGGTTTCTAGGGAGCGGCAAGACAACGCTCTTGAAGAACATCCTTACCTCTGACCAGCACTCTCTACGAATCGCCGTCATTGTCAATGACATGGCCGCTCTGAACATCGATGCCGCGCTGATAAAGCGCCATGTGGTGTCTCAGACCCAGGAACGCCTGATACAGATGGAAAACGGCTGCATCTGCTGCACACTTCGCGGCGACTTGCTGGAAGAGCTGGCCAAGTTGGCTCGTAACCGAGAGTGTGAATACATCCTCATCGAGAGCACAGGCATCAGCGAACCAATGCAGGTGGCAGAGACCTTCACGGAAGAGTTTGCGCACGCCATGATCGAGGCTGCGAATGACGGCTCGCTGCAGGGCCAGCAGGATGACGAGAGGATCTTGAAAGAGATGTACGAGACCGATTACTGCACAAAACTCCTCCCGTTCCCACGATATGCCTGCTGAACAGTCAAATTTGAGTGCTACAGGGCGGAACTTGGTGGTCTGCAAAACATTGCCAAACTCGACACCCTGGTCACCATCGTCGACGCATTCAATTTCTTTCACAACTTTTCCACTACGGAATTCATCACCGACCGATGGGGAAAGGAGGGCGTTGACCCGGAAGATGAACGGACCATTACGGATTTGATGGTCGATCAGATGTGAGTGTGTGACCTGGACACTACGGGCGGTGCATGGTCCCTCACCGGATCATGGCTAACGCACCTCTACTCCAAACCCAGAGAGTTCGCCAATACCATCATCCTCAACAAAATCGACAGCGTGGACAAAGCGACAAGATCTCGAATCAGAGCTGTCATCCACCAACTGAACCCTGCCGCGAAAGTCTTGGAATCCAATTTCTCCAAAGTCGACCCCCGACGAGTCATTCGCACCGAGACGTTTTCATTCGAAAAAGCTGCCACTAACATGGGCTGGCTCCAGAGTCTCCACGACCTCAACGTGCGAGAGATCAATGGGCAGCTCAAAGTCGCTCCCAAGCCGGAGACTGAAGAGTAAGATGCTCCAACGAGGCAGATGGGGAGCTAGACCCTCTGTGATTTAGGGTACTAATGAGGTTTATTAGGTATGGCATCTCCAGCTTCGTCTACCGTGCACGACGACCCTTCAATCCACGACGCCTGTATAGATTGATACACGACAAGTTTGTCATCATGGAGGGTCAGATCGTTGATGAGGAAGCGGATGATGAAGACAACGACGGGGATGAGCAGAGCGGAAGTGAAGAAGATGAAATGGAAGTTGACAATGCCGAAGAAAACTCCTCGGATACTAGTGATGGTGATCCCCGTGACCCCAACAACCACTGAGGAAAGAATCGCAGATGCTGACGATCCTCCTTCTAGACTCCAGCCAGACGGAAGACCAAGACGACTCTGACGATTTTTCCAAATCCATTGACCCTAAGGTATGTTTGGGATCCTGCCATGCTCACAGAGTACTACCTGATCGGTGACGTCTAACCATCACACAGGTCGTCGTCGAGAACAAGAGAGCAAACCCCGTCTTTGCCGGTCTCCTACGGTCCAAGGGGTTCATCTGGCTCGCCACACGGCCTTTCTTACACGGAGAATGGAGCCAGGCTGGAACCATGCTGACCTTGCAGGGCGGTGGTCCTTGGTTCTGTGCTCTTGACGATGGTATGACCCCTCGTTTTTTTTTTCAAATCCCTGGTTCATTGCACGATGCTTGCTCGTATACACATTATTGACGCTGAGATGCCTCTCAAGCCCAGTGGCCCACGGACCCGGACACACGACGCAGCATTGAAGCCGACTTTGTCGAGCCCTGGGGCGATCGACGACAAGAGATCGTCTTTATCGGCGAGAAACTTGACCCTGTCGGCCTAACGGCGGAATTCGATGGGTGTCTATTGACAGACCCGGAGATGCGCAAGTGGGGGAAGATCATGAAGTCTACCGAGGACAAGGAGATTATCCATCGTAAATTGGCAAATGCCTTTGAAGGTGAGAAGAAGATTTGACTCCGAACAAAGTCGGGGGTTGAATTCGTCACGTATGGAGTGCTCCAGCTGACAAAACTTGCCAGATGGCTTTGAGGATTGGCCTGAGCTCGTGCACGACGATGACGAAGAAGGGGATGGTCACCACCATGAGCATGGACATGGGCTGGAGGGTCATCATCGTCAATCTCGGTCTCAACCTCAACCTCAACATTTGAAACAGCAGCGACAAAGCGGCCAGAAAAATACATCAAAATAGATCTAAGGGTGTACAGTTGATGAGGCTGGATGTATGTCTCGCTGCACATAAGAGTATTCCCTTCTCCGTACGTGGGCTCCGCGGCCCTCCAAATATATCATGCGGATTCCCCGTGCATATCCAATTTGACCCAAAGTCATTGTGCAGGAAATACTCGAAAACCACCAAGGATGTAGCAACCATGCGGATCGCTATAGCTCCGTAGAGCGAGACGTACCAAAATCTCGGCTTTCCAGCTAAGCTTCAAGATCGGTGAGGCGTTGGGAAGGCCATCCACCTGATGTTTATCATTGTTTTCCTTCTCTTCAAAGATATCCAGGCGCTCTTCACGCCACTTGTCAGATCCCTAATGAGACCATTTGCCTCGAAATCGGTGAGGTGAGCGTAGAAGGTCCACGGTCGAAGTTGGGATCGAAGAATCTTGCGCGTACGGCCCTCGTGATTGTGAGAGCGGAGATCTGACGAGGAGGGTCTCCGCTGCCGTGGGCAGGATTTGGCTGAAAGCGCAGAGAAAGCTTATCATGGCAGGATAGAATATCATTAACTCAGAAGTCAACCGTATAATGCATCTGTTGTCTTGGGGAAATTAGTAGGGTTTGCACCATTTCTTAGGTCGAGGATCTCTAGGGTAAGAGTTCTATTCTCCAAGCACAAAGAGCCCTGGTTAGCGATGGTGTAAAGGACCCAACTCGAGGAAAAGTAGCCTCTGCAGTCCTTGACAGAAGCTGCGAAACTGAAGACCGTGAACTGCGCAAAATGATACCAAAAGTGAATGAGGGACATTCGTCTCCCATTGCCAGATCTCTTCGGATGCGATGTCTTCCTGCAGTAAGGGAAGCGCGAACAGATTCGTAAATACAAGGCTAGGAATCTGTGCTCATCACATGTGAGTTCAGAGGCATTGAAATGTGCAGTTGGTGGCGATTTTGCCTAGTGGGTGCCTAATGTGCTAGCCGTGCTATTAGTGTCAGAAAGACTGGGCTGACTGGCTAAGGCTCCTCGGGCGCTTGGCAGGCTTGGCAGGTTTTGTTGGCTGGACCGCCTCGCGATACTAGATCAATCAAGGGGTTCTGTGTGTACAGCCGATGGTGCTACCAAGGTTTACACGGGATCTGACATACAGATACATCCCTCGCTGTCTGTGCTTTGCGACCTCCGCATCCTGATTCCATACTCTTTCCTGCAACTACAAGGACGCACCGCGCTTTGCATTTCAAACCAAGACACTTGTCCGAGGCTATAGAAGCTGCAGGGAAGGCATGTTACCACGATGCAATTCGATCATGTCGCAGAGGAGCAACAAGAAAAAAACTTTACCCTCTGGGTGCAGGCTCTTCTACGGAAATCGCCAGAGTACCTAGCGATGCATCTTGCACCGATACACCACCCTGGAAAACCCACTGCAGCGTGCCTGTGGAAGAATGGCTCTTTCAATATATGCTACCGGGTCAAGTACGAGGACGGATTCAACGCAATCGTCCGCTTTGCTGCCTTTGGGAGAACTATACACCGCAGAGAGAAAGTCGACAATGAGGTTGTCACCATGAAATACCTTGCCCGATACACATCAATCCCGGTACAGGATGTTCTGGGATCAGGTACATGCGGGGCCGGCCCTTACATTGTCATGAGTTTTGTCGAAGGCGCGCCACTTGCGGAATTTCTCAAGGATCGGCACCAGAAAGGACGGCCAGTTCTGAACCCTCGGCTCAGTGACCGCGTCTTGAAGAGAGCGTACAGGGAAATGGCTAAACTTATCCTCGAACTATCGAAGCCGGAGTTTCAATACATTGGAGCACTTCGGCAAAGCGAGGCAAATTTCTCTGTCACCAGTAGACCTGTGACCTTCAACATGAACGAACTGGCCACAAGCGCAAACCTTCCCCCTCAAGCATTCCCAACCCAAGTCTTTGAATCAGCGCCCGATTTCTTCACATCACATGCCAACCAGCATATTTCCCCAACTCCAGCTCCAGCGTAATGATTCCATCACTGATCAAGACGACTGCACGAAGAAATACGTGGCCAGATGCCTATTTCGCAACATAGCACAGGGCATCTCCACGGAGCGTCGCAACGGCACCTTCCGGTTGTATTGCGACGACTTCCGACCCTCCAATGTTCTAATCGATCTGCAAAATCTCAACGTCACGGGTGTTGTTGATTGGGAATTTACTTATGCAGCTCCCGCCGAATTCACATACATTGCACCTTGGTGGCTCTTGCTTCAAACCCCGGAAGACTGGGAGTCAGACCTCCGCGCGTTCTTGGAACGTTTCATGCCGCGCTTTCGTGTTTTTATCGAAGCTCTCCGCGAATGCGAGGAAGGAAGTTCAAATGAAGGAGATGATGCGGCAGTAGTCCCGCAACGTTTGTCTACGCGTATGGAGCGGTCGCTTGAGTCTGGGCTGTTCTGGGTTTGTCTTGCGGCTAAACATAGCTCCATGTTCGACGAGATATATCACGGACCTATTACGACGATGGAAGACAGGCTTGGACTATTGACCAAGGACGAGAGACACAGTCTTGATGAACTGGTTCGGATCAAGTTGGAACATATTGTCGAAGGGCCTCCAGACACCCATTACACTGTGGATGACCTGATGGGTCTCTGAGGCCCTCAATCACTTCCCTCGTCTGCCCACGGGAGCCCTTACCGACCTATTTTTCCTGGTTGAGAGACTCCCGTCCTCTAGTTATTAGCTTTATGAGCAGATACCATTGCGGCGACGAGCCTTTCATCGTGCAAAAAAGGCTGACGGTGGCTGCGTTTTATTGATGTTTAGACCTGGGGGAGCTTGGAAGGAGCTGCTCGACAGAGCTGCTTCTGGAAGTCGACCAGGACTTGGCATTGTAACACTTGCCATTGTATGAATTACTGAACTTGACAACCAATTGTTGTCCGAAATATTTTCGCTGTCAAATGACGCCTTGGAAGTCTGAGGAACCCGTTGCGACGGAGGACTGATGTGCTTTCTTCTCCACCAACGAGTTTGGATGTGCTAGGCCCTGTAAAGCTTTACATCCGTCAGCAAGCTGGATTCTTCTCGGTCTCGGAATAGCAGTTGGAACTGAATCGAACTCTCACCGTCAGTCTGCGCATTGGACTTGCCCATTACCACATTCAACGATGCGATTTCATGGACGTGGGAGGTGCGGCCCTATCTGTCTCAAAAGCTTGCGGCAAAAGGCCGTCTCGGCGCCTCAATAGCCGCTGTCTCTTTTCAGGGGTCAAGGTGATCCAACGAGATAGCATGATCTCAAGCGACAATATTTACTCACTAGCTGGATTCGTGTTAGGATGTTTCAGCTGTTGCCAGTTCTCAAGTCTCGTTGAACGTCAGACAACAAGGTTCGTTGTCTCTACATTGATCTCTGCCACCACCGCAGAGATAATGGCGGACACCACAGCGGAAATCGACACATCCAGACTTTTGAGGCAATACAACATATTTTTCGACCTCAATAAACGTCAAGCTGAAGGGCACGAAGCCCTTTTTCGGGATATCTCGACCCTGGGGAGCTACGATCTTGACAAATACCGCCCAGATATCACCGTAGAATCGACCCAAAAGCCTTGGAGACTGAAGACAGTTGAACGCGCAAAGGCCATCAGCGCCAAAGCCCTGCGATGCCTCGAACAGGACAAGAACGAGTCTAGTTGGCGTTTAAGCATAGAATCGGAGATCCTGGCTCGATTCAGCATTGAAGTCGCATGGTAAGCCCAGATATGTCGTGCCGAGAGGTTTGTGCGGGACGTTGACTGGTGTTTTGCCCTGAATGTCGCGCCCGCCTCTGGAAATCTGAAATGGAAGTCGCTTTGACTGCAGCCAACGGGAGCATGGAAGATCTGGCGACAAGACAGAAAAATCGAAGAATATGCCAGTGCCCGTCGCGCAGGCGTGGGGAAGACCAGTCAGTGCCTGTCCAGACCGACACCCCAAAGGTACAGTCTAACCCTGATGCAGATTTGACGAAGGCCTAAATCCGCTTTTTGATGATCGAGCCGATGAGGAGATCCAATACGAGAACGAAATCAGGGCCAAAGTCACCAAAGGCAAAAAGCCTGACCGTATAGTAGGCATTAGACTCACCAAGAGACTGGACAGGATCCTACACGAAACGGAAGGCCCAGATGGTAACTTGATCGTGGACTCGATCAGGACAAGCCCATTCAAACCCTTCATCAAGCCTCTTCTATTTCCGTTCCTTCTCATAGAAGCAAAGTCGGAAAAGAGTCCAGATGCCTTTTCGAAGATTGATGCCCAGTCGGGCTTTGCACTTCGCAACCTGCTTCAGCTCCAACGTAATCTTGTGCACGCCACAGCCGAAAATCGACACTCCAGCGTGAAGCCCCTTGTTTGGTACTTGGCATACAGAGGTGAGCAATGGCGGCTCTCAGGCGCCTATGTGGAAGAAACCAAACATGAGTCTCGACCAAATTACGTGAGTTATCCCTCTCTATCTGGGCACCGGGATTGACCACTTGCAGCGCATCCTACAACTGTGGCGGGGAGATATTACGGAAGAAAATGAGGCACTTCGCCTCCTTCTGATCCTGGACTATGTGTTCGACTGGGCGCGCGATATATATCGTCGAGACATCATTAGTGGCCTATTGTCTTTGGCTCCAAATGCATCCGAAAGTCTCATTGCAGACACTGATGTTGGCAGCACTTACGACAGGTTTGATCACTTTCGTGATGTCGACTACGATGAGCCTGCAATAGGAAATGATGTCGGACAGACGGAGCCTTTTGGGGTTCCTCACTTGCTGAAATTCTTCGACGATGAACGTCTCGCGATTCGTGATGCTAGGTATATGGCACATAAAGTCTGGGCTCTCTACGTAACCTTGGAAAACCTGGACGAGTTTTTGAGCAAAATGGATAGCACGGCAAAGGCTATTCAACTTGCTAGGCAACTGTGGAGATGCATATGCGGTAGCGGGACATGGTCCGTTACTGCAGACTGTCTCAATGCTGTTGAAAAGCTATGGACGGGCCAGGACCGAGAATCACACACTTTCCAGAATCCAGAACAACGATTTCTAGCATCGTTCGCGGTGGATTCTTACCTGACAAGCGGGGATCATCGTAGGATGATCAGACTTGACCTGTGGGACCAGGTTCACGCCCTGACATACGTTGCGATAGCTCATGATGCCGTGGAAGCTCTGAGAAAGAGGACCGAATATAAAGATCACACTATGCGGATGAATTTCGACACTTCAGATGTGGAAGCTACCGACTCGGTTTTGGATCTTTTTCGAAGTGTCCGATTCGCATCGGTGAGGCAGTGTTTCGCGGCGGCTGTTGCGAGATCTCGACTGTCCTCGCACCTTGGATCGCGCACCGAAACAATCACAGTCCCAGGGTTTCCGAAAGGGTTAAGGTGGACCTCTTACCCTGCTCTGATCCCGGTGACATTTGAATCATCATCGATTGTCAGCCCGGCAGGACCCACTGCAGAAATGTACAAGCTTCTGAAGATTGGCAGGACCGAGCCGTCTGAGAGTTTTTTCCGCGTTTCACAGCAGTTCAGTAAGCATGACATCGAAGCAACCTGCCCTACGCCAATGACTTGGGCCCAGAGTACACTGAAATTGCTCCCGAAAACCGACGCATTACTGGTGAAGGGGCTCGATTCTGAAAAGGTGGATGGTGAAAGGCGTCCGCGGACCTGGTACTGTCTTTTCGTCTTTGATACGCCTCCCACGAATGATCACGAAGAGACGAACCCGTCCGAGACAGCGAGAGTCTTTCGGGGAACGTTACAGACCTTTTTCGATGTGCGGTTAAGGAGGTACAATTTCAAGGATACAAAGTGTGAAGGGGCACAGAAGCTGGAAAAAGCCCTCAAGATCTTGGAACATGTCGCGATGCAATACTCATTGATCCAGTCCATGGACGCAGACAACGGTGCCGAGACAGGCCCCGAGTGGATTCGAGAGAAATGCAAAGTCCTCGCATACCCGAGCGTCAAGTGGCCGTATAGCTTTTCCGAGACGATAAACGGCATCAAACAAGTCAGCAAGGACTACAGATTTAGCCAGACGATACATGACCTGTCCGTGGCATTTCAAACCATGATTTCGCCTCAGAATTCATATCTTGGACCCAAGGACAATCTGCGCATGGACTGGACTCCCTCCCACGAGCGGAAGGACAAGGCGAAGCGTCGTAGAGTCCACTACACGCCGGACAGCGACCATTCCAGAGCCGAGTATTCGGCCGATATACGTGGCGCCATAACCGTCGATGATACTAGTGACGAGACGGAGAGCAGCATTGGTTCTTGGTCAGAGGACAGCATTGGGGGACCTTCAAACGGCAAGCGACGACGACTAGAATGATGACCACGACCAGGCTCGTCATAACTTGTTGGCGCGCGCCGATCAGAAACGTATCTGAAAATCTAGCTGACTTCACTAGTGTGGCAAAGCATTTCTGGCCGTTCTCAATAGAAGTCTGTTGAGATAAATAAATGACCGGTGTCAGTGCCATTGGCCCCTAGTCTGAAACCGAATCAGACGCTAGGCTTACTCTTTCATTCCTGAGGAACTTTGGACAGTAATAATAAGGACATATAACCTTAACTCAAATATTGCTTAGCGCTCTGTCATCAAGCGAATGTGACAGGTTCCCGCCAAGCCTGGGGAACTGCCATTTCTACTGGCGTGTTTCCAACTCCTCACTCAGATCGTCGCAGCTTTCACGAAGACTGTCCGGCTGTGCACCCACTTTTCGGGTCTCCATTCCTTCCGCTGATTGATGGCAGGTCTGTTTGTCTTCTCTCCTTACCAGTCGATATGGCCACGGGTGTTACAGAGCGAAACTCAGCGCGAGACGTTGGGGCAGCCAAAAAGGGTCGCGACAAACGTGGCCGCTACCAGGCCAAACCTGATCGTTCAAGACTGAGTAAATATCCTTCATCATTTGGGAAATGGCTTGTCTGAGCGAGGACAGAAGAACAAAATACTGCAGCACGAGATGAAGACGACAACAAAGATACAACTGAGTGCTCGCAAACAACACGAAAAACACGGTATAACTGTCAGTCTGCTTTCTCTCTCTACCCGCTTCATTGCCCCATAATCGTGTCACTGACTCTGTTACAGCAAACCCGCACCGCCAGCGAAACCCGAACGCGCGCGGCAAGCCCTACCGCACGAGCCCGCGATCACAAAAGCCACAAATCGTGAACCAGTCCCGAACTGCAAGAGGAGGACAGACGAATTCATCTGCAGCGGAGCATCACTATTATCCTGAAGAAAACCCTCACCAATTCACCCCTCAGTCGACTGGGATTAAGCGGAAACGATCGCACGAATCTCAAGCTGACGCTGAAGTCAAAGTGTATAATGCTCAAGACGAGCATGTCACAAAACAACCTCGGAAAAGTCCGCCTCCACTCCTCGAACTACCTGAGGATTTACCCAAAAATATAACACAATTCCGAAGTCTGGGTCCTTCTAAAGACCAGCTCTCTGAACATAACTTACGACTGTTCAACGGGGAGATGAATCTCTCCGCCAACAATAGTCCCGTTCTCAAACGGACCTCGTCGAGGCGTTCCTTAGCTGCGTCATCGGATATAGACACTGTCCGATCTCAACGCTCCTCAAACACCACGGCCTTCTATCGCTATAAGCATCTTGAGGTAGCCGATATTTATATCCACACTGATCTACCTGGCGACATTGAGGCTGATATCGACCGCATTGTCAAAGCCAAGGTTTCCAAGCATCGCAGTGTTAAACTTTCTAACATTGCCAAAGGATTCTACGGGGCCTGCAAGGAAGCTGTGAAGGCTGCGGCTGGGGAAGATGACTTTGTCCACATATTCCGTCGCGCGCTCGAAGCTATGAGCCCCGACGAGATCATGTTACGTGAAAAAGCCGACTGGCGAGAAGAGCTGAAGCCAATTCCACAGCAGTCCGACCTGAACCTGAGTTTCTTGGTAAATGTGAATGCTGTGAGTAATGACCAGCAAGACGAAGTTGACGACGCCTCGGCTCCTCCACCACCGAAACGCCAGCAACAGTCTGGAGGCCAGATGTGCTCCTCCCCCCAATCTTCAATGGTCGACGCATTGAATCCTTCTCGCGACAACAGGCAACTCGAACCGGCCGTCATGCCTCCTCCTATAAATTGTTCCCTCATGGAGAAACCAAAGGAAACCTTCCCAATCAAAACACCTCGTCCGGACATCACAGTGGGTATAAAAGAAGAATCCCTCATTTCGGCCCTCTCGATTCTTACGCCACAGGATCTCAATAAAACTGAGGCTAAGAGATTTCTCAATATGCTCGAGGACACAATGATTCCGAGCAAGCGAGGCGGATCTATGGAGCCGCTGCTAATCGCAGTGCCGACGCAACGCAAATCAGACCTTGTCTTTCCATTTGCCGTCGTCGAGGGTAAAGCCTATTCGACAGGCAAGCAAGTCTTTGAAGCACAAAATCAGGCCGCAGTCTCCGGGGCCTGTGGCCTCAAGATGCAGCTTTGCCTAAATGAACTGGTCAAGCGCTCAACGTCCGATTTTGCACTTCCATCGTCGACGATTCAGCCTCCGCTCTTCTTCTCCATCTGTACCGAGGGCCCATACCATGAGCTCTGGGCCCACTACACCCATCTTGAAGATGGCGTACAAAAGTTCAAGATGAAGCTCTTGAAAATTTGTAATGGGGTATTATTAGACGGCGTGGAGGACTTTATTGTCGCCGTGGATAATGTGTTACGTTGGGGTACAGGCCAATTTCTGAAATCGGTTGTGGAACGTCTGGGAAAGGTTGTCAACAAGGCCAAGTCTCAGAATGATTCTTGAAAGTAGCCCTCGAGGATGCCTATGTCCGCCATCGCTCCTGTGAGGGGCGCTCAAGACGCGAGGATCTCATCAAAGGTACGGGATTCGTCTAACCTTCTCTCCTGTGCCTATTGTACTTTGAGACGGACAAATTCCTCCAGAGACACCTGTTCCTCGGCGGTCAATAACCCGATACGCTCCTCAAGGCAAGTGAATTCCCCATAAAATCCCGAATCGATGAAACGCCAGTAAATGTCATCAAAGGCAAAGCTCGAAGTGGCTGCTAGACAGAACCAAAACGTTCCATTTTGCAGGAACCGCGCCATTTCTCCCGACAAACGCTGAGATTCCGAGAGGGCACCACACCGACTCTCTTTGTCTTCCGTCTCTTTCAAGGCCTGCAAAAAGGCCGCGTGTAGCGGGAGATACTGAGCCATAAAGTCATCAAGACTGCTCCACAGTCATCTGGATGTACCAAGAGGAGCCACCATGGCGAACAGCATGTGAAATCGGCAGGAGCAGCATAGGTAAATTCCCAGTCGATGACACAACGGAGGTTCAGTTTTTCGTCGATGATGACGTTCGAAGGACGGAGGTCATCGCAGATCAATCTGAATGGACCTCTGTCGTGAACATTCGGAAAGCTCTTTGCAATCTTGAGGAATAAGCAGCGCGCGACGTATTTCTTTCGGCAGTCTGCCTCATTTTCAACTGCGTCGTTGTGTTGCGTTCGAAGGTGAGCCATGTGTGATCTGGCCAAGGCCATAACATAATCGGTGGCCGTCGCAAATGTGTTTGTAGGTAGGTCCACGGGAGGGTAGTTGGCCAGAGCAACCAACCGGTTCATGTTCAGCGTCAAAGACCATTTTCCGACACACCAACGGCCCAATTCATCCCGAGATACCCCTCCAATGCGAGGGAATTGGCATTTGGACAGCTCAATCAATATCTTAGAGATGACCCGATAGGCCTAGGTTAATGTTTGGGGATTGATGTTCGGATCCAGTACCTCGACTTTTTCTGGTTCTGTAGGAGCTTTGAGAGCTTCTGATAACAACTTCCCTTTAACAAGCTCCATGACTATGCAGGGACCCCAGGAAGAATCGGAGACTTTGATCAACCTTGGTGTAGGATTTGATGTGTGTTTCGCGACATACTCGATGACTGTGATCTCATCAATGACCTTCTCTTTGTGAAAGGCGACTCTGCCCGGCGTGTCGGTCAAATGTGTAAAGATCAAAATCACAGGAAGGTCACGGAGTGAACCAAAGGAGAAGGAGGGAAGGGCGATGGAGCTAACCGACACTAAACCTGAATAATCTGCGGGGTCTCCAGAAAAGGCCACTTCGATGGGGGTTGATTATGGTTCGGAGGTATCGATCAAGAAGCCCTGAAGCCGGAAATGGGGGCTGGTTCTTTTACGCCCACTGCCATGTCCGGACGAGGTGTTTTGATCGGTGAGGTTTTCTTGGATTTACATATCAACCTCCGCCTTCCTGCCGGTCACTGCCCTTTAGCATCAAATTCTACCGAAAAAAAAAACACTCAAATCCAGATCCGATTGCTGGGGAACGGGCTTCGGCTCCTCCCGCAATTCGGCTTTCCGACGGAACACGCCTGATCTCTGCCATAGTATAAAGCGACGGCCCGGTTTTTTTAGCGCTTGAGAATCAACTGGGTATACCTAAAAGCCAGAACAGTTCCTGGGGTGAACGACAACCATGGGCAGCTAAAGACGATGGGTTCCTTTTCTTGCGCCAGGTTTCGACCACGAAACCAAGCACGAAGTCCGCCCACAAGCTGGAAATCCTGTTACCGAGCGTGTGTGAGCCTACCACCCCAAATCCAGCTTCACTGCAAATTCAGTCTCGGATGGAAGGGCTCATAGGCGGTGTTTGACTAATACTATATCGATGGAGTCGTCTGAGCAGTTCGCGTTGCTCGACTCACATACATCATTCCAACACATTTTGAACCTGCCGCTTGATGTATCTCGTCAATTTCTCCAGAATGCCATTGTAACCTGCACCGCATGCCGCCGTCTCGACGTGCTGAAGCAATCCACTGACTTTTGGGAAGCTGTCGTCACAGCTCGGACACCGGTATCTGAACTCATCGTACCAGCCGTTAGTGTATAGGTTGCTCCGGTGGCAGCTGAAAGCCCATTTATCGATATCGACCTGGGTAACCTCGGAATCACAGGTCGTCGACTCGAGATGGATGAGGATACCAGAGGGGCTTTTGAATTTACGTTCGCAGCCGTAGCACTTGTTTTGACGAGGCGTGTGGATTTTCGCGTGCTTTTGGGGAGCGTCAATTAAAAACATGTTCTGGGGTTTGATATTCACGTTCCCGCGTACCATACGAACTTCGTTTTCATTTGCAAACTCCTCATCACATATAGAGCATCGATTGTGGAACTGGACGCGATGTTTCGATACACCGGCAAAGTTTGCTTGACAGTCGTAGCAGAAGGAATGTTTTGTTTCCATGTGAGCGCGAAGACTGCTTTCTTCGGGTTCGTCGGTGCCGCATTTTGAACAGACCCAATGGTTCTGCGAGTCCCGGGTATGTTGTTCGTGAGCCTGTGTAGAGATAAACAACCATTGGCACCTGTCACACCATTCATCTTGGTGACAACGCGCGGCTTGACAGTGCTGGAGCAATGCTTGTTCGGAGTCAAATTCACGCTCGTCACATGAAATGCAGACGAATTCAACTCCCTCGACGTCGATCAGGGCCTGATTCTCTCGCGGCATTTTTTGGGGGGGAGCGCTCGACGATGGCGAAGGGAGTGAAAGAGGGACGGGAGAGAAGAGTCAGGCGGCAGTGATATGACAAAGTCATTGCATAGACCCTGCAGAACGAAAATGTGACAAGTATGGGTGGTTGGACCAGCGAAGCAGCGCTGTTCCTCAAGGGCTACGGTCTTCGGGACCACTCATTGTCTCGTGGCAGGGATGAAGCATGCATAAAGCTGCGGTCTTAGCGCAGGTGAAGGTGTCACGAGACCTCTATGCAGTTATCACATGCTGCGGAGGCAGCGGCTGATGGAAGCCACACAGCCATCTTGGCCGCACACCCTGCAAGCTTGGGCCTTTCAGCCTGATTGTGCGTTCTTGCTGTAAAGATTCCTATAACTGCCCTCCTCCCAGTCGCTAGGTCGGAACTCGTTTGCGAGCCCCAGTCTGATCGTCCAAGCCGGATCGTCATGGATAAAGCGCGCCATATCTTACGACCGACTCGGTCACCTCCAAAGCTTTCCAACAGGAGATTATCCAGTGTCTGCGGTTAGATGGATCGAATGCCGTTGCGAATGCATAGCCGTATAGGCTATAATGACCGAGGTAAAGAAAAGAACGGTCTGAACTAAACGAGGGTACAACTATTGCATGAATTATCCTGTTCTGTGTGTTTGCATACTGTCTGAATGGCAAAAGGTGTGAAGATACCACCACCAAAGCCATTGAAATACTCCCGGGAGGAAGGCTCAGTCTCGCGGCCTTGTGCCATTCATGTCTCTCCATCGCCATTTTGTTTCCGTGTAGGATTACCCCCTCATGTACCTCAGGGTTATTGCTGACTTTGTTCAATCGTGATGGCGGAAACTGGCAGTGCGTGTACTTGTACGGAGTTGGTTGTCAGGCAGTTCGAGGTTGAGTCTAGCCAATCACTTGGCGGAAGTCACTAGCGTGTCTAGTTTGGCTAGTTCATTTTAGGACTAGAATATTCCAACTAAGCCTGTCTTCTGCTTTCATCACCGCCAACATCGCCAACTCTTATGTCCAAATACCAAATTCGACCCCATGGAGCGAGAGACTGCAGTGGCCAACACTAAAACTGAGCCTCCAACTCTTGCCACCATCGAGGATCTCCCAATGGTGGTGAAAGCCATACGCGACTATGCCTCTCAGTCAGACTTTGCCAATCTCTGCCTTGTCTCTCAACAGTTTTACCGCATGGGAAACGTCATGCTCTATGAGTCTGTTACATTACTCTCAAAAGGAAACCGCGACACTAGATCAATCCTGGCACTCAAACGGACGCTGACAGCGAAGTCTTGGCTTGCTTACTCCGTACGACGCTTACACTGTCTATCACAGCATCGTGGGAGGATTTCCGCGGATGATCTTGAGGATTCATCTCTCCTCGGCATACTATCAGATCTGCTCAGCCTTCTTGAGCGTCTGGAAGATCTCGAAATCGTCGATTGTTTTCCGCAATCCGACGAAGGAGCTGAGAGACTGAATCAATCACTCCGATGGGTACCTTCACTGCGACGTTTCACGTGCAACCTCCGAGTACCGCAGTGGCCACAGCCTGCCCCAAAACTATACGCAGTCAACACTTCGATACTGAAGCGCGCGCTGTCACTGCCATCACTCATCAGTTTCTCAACAACGTTAGAGGAAGACCCCTTGGCAGAAGCATTATCCTTGCCAGCTAACAGTAGCATATCGACACTCAGTCTGAACAACCTGTTTGTGAGTACGGAAACCTTTAGGACAATCCTGGCCGCTCTGCCGCAGATAACGGACTTGAATCTTGAATTTGTACGATATATTGATTCTTACGATTCTCATGTACCGCGCCATGTGGACTGCAGAGAACTCCAGACAGCTATATCGGGTTTCACACTGACGCTGAGAAGACTGCGAGTCGTGGCAGACTTCAGGTCTGTCGAAGGCGGTGACCCTTGTCAGGGCGGCGGAGACGATGCACCGTGGGGTTTTCTGTCTACACTCAATCTCAAAGCCTTTTCCATGCTTACGGAGTTGGAATTGTCTCCTGAACTGCTACTTGGTTGGAAGGTGGAATCGTCACCCGAGCTTTCTGCATGCTTGCCGTGTCACCTGGAGTCGCTTTACCTGAGGTATGACTATGGGGCTTGGTACGATTCGGTATGGGATTTTGAGAGACTGTCGGAGAAGCTTCGTCCGTACATTGACCACCAGTCGTCGTTGCGAAGCCTCACTGTGGAATATTTCGACTTCCTGGAGGACGAGATTACAACACTATCGTCGTCGCTCCGAACGCAATGTGAGCACGCTGGGATTTGTTTTCGGCTAAGGCTGATATAGAATCCACTCTGATGGAAGGCGTATGTCCTCAGTCGCTCTGTTCAGAAAATACATCCAATCAAATCACCTTTGAAATCAGTTGGCTCATGATTCTTGATGGTGCCGGGCGTTTGATGTTCCAGATTGCGAGGTTGTGAAGAGATCCAACAGGTCAACCGACTCATAACCTCTCGTATTCGTACTCACGCCCGAAGGACACGCTCACAAGAAGTAGCGCCCAGCTACACTCTACAGGGCGCGTCACGAGGGGAGGTTTCCAGCTGTAGCCCGCAGGACAACTTACCAGATGCAGACTGGACTGCAGCTCAAGCGTTGGAAGTTGCATATCCGAGGGGAAGGCCGTGACGAATCAAACCTTTCTTGCTGCCGGACGAGATAAGGCTGAGGGACCCCAATCATGCACCTGTCTGCTTAGGGGACGGGACGAACGTTGATGGCAACAACGTTGGAGCCCAGGGCGCAGACTCTGCATCAGAGACGCTGTGACGACCATTCGTGTTGGCCTGGGTCCTGCGGCTCGAAAGATAACTCGGGATTTCCTCTGGTCCCCTTCGCCTGCTTCTGCCCAAGACCTCCCGTCTTGGTTTTGGACTCGTCTTTACCCCTTGGCCGATGAATTCTACTAATTCAAACTCTTTCCCGCATATCCTGAGGAATCCTGTCCACGTTTTCAAGATCAAACCCTTCCACTAGTTGTTCGACATGTCCAGAAACAGCTTTCGTCTGGCATTTGACGAGGATGCGTACAAGAGCCTGGATATCCTCGCAGCATCAGCTGTCCTCGACGTTTCCTTGTGTAACCTCAGATGGTCCGATAAATTGATTGCGCATGTCGCCATTCAAGCCCGGGAAGAACTAAATGACCTTTGGAAAGATTGGGCGAAGACGCACAAAGATCGAAGATTTGCGACCCCGCCAACGGCCGTCACGGCCCTGTTTGACGAAGACAACTGCCGCCTATTCATATGCACGTCCGTCAAGGGCATGGGCGCAAACTCAAGCTTCCTAGACAGGCTCTCTCCCGAGCGGCGGATCTTCATCGACAAAATCCTGTCCCTCAGCAGCGAGGAAGGGGTCGAGCCGGGCAAATACTCCTGGCACATGTTCCAGGCCAACTGTGCCGAAGTACACGCGCTCTGCCAGTGGCACCTGGCACGCCCAGGAGACGGATGTGACCGACTCAAAGACGCCGTCATGGCAACCGCCGGCGGGCCGGACCTCGTCCTCTACAACCCCTGTGGCAGACCTCCGGCCCCGAATCTGGATCGGCGGCCACCGGGATGCAAAGAACTTGTGGAGCTGCTGCGTGTGTGGGCCCTGAACCGTTCTGCCTTTGAGAAGTGCAAAGTGGAGGATGCCCAAGATTACAGCCTCGAGCCGGTGGTCAAGGGAGTGAGTTCGAGCAAGGACAACAAGAGCCGCTCTTTGGTTTGTTGAGGTTTCAAGTGACCTTTTGTCATGGTTTTGCAGGGACAAGGACGAGGACATGCGCATTTTCCGGGTTTCAACGTCCTTTTCCGTATCGACTGTTTTCTTTCCTTTGGAACAGCCAGCTAGCCAACCAGCCAGCCGCCTCGTCAGGTCGAATTGGGGTTTGACGACGAGGGCTGACCATTTCAGCCTGGAATATACTTCTCGAAAATGGTCTAACTTAATTGGGAAACACGTTTTGTCATTAGCGACTTAGTGAGCAAGCTAGATCCTTAGTGAGGGGTAGGTCCATATATTTCCCGGTCGCACCGACAAGTCCTACGTAATTGAAGAACCCCATCCACTGCTCGAAACATTGGAGCGCAGTTTACCTCTTGTCCGTGTACAGACGTCAACACACTCTTTTCGTTCTTCTATACACCCAACCAACCAACCAACCAACCGACTACACGGGATCATCGCTTTCTACCGCGACCGTCTCCCCCACCGATTTTCCTCCGGCGCCCCCCCCTCTCGGACTCTGACCAAGACACCTTCTCTTTCTCGCCCTCACCTACTACCTTCCCACCAATAGTCCAAAATGTCAGGAACAACTCCTCCGGCCATAATAGCGCCGTCGATACTGAGCGCCGACTTTGCCGAACTGGGTCGCGAGTGCGCCAAAACAATGGACCAGGGCTGTGATTGGCTCCATGTCGACATTGTACGTCTGCGCTGTGCACGAAGCCCCAAGAATACTTCATCCACCCCTTTTAGAAGGACAGGGGAAAATGTTGGAGTCTTTCCAAGAATAGAAAGAGGAGGTCCACAGCGCGGGAAAACATAGTGGTCTTTCTTGTTTTCTGAGAGGCATGACATACAAGCTGACGTTCTTCTCTGGCAAACTTGTAGATGGACGGCCACTTTGTCCCCAACATCACGTTCGGCGCGCCGGTCGTGTCCAAGATCCGACCGCACGTGGAAAGACCGCAGAAACCGGGCGGTCGAGGCACATTTGATTGCCACATGATGATTGCAGAGGTGAGTCAAACCAAGTTCGAGTTGTCTGCAGTTGCGAAAAAGAGAGAGCCGAGCGGTGGGTGGGTGGGCGGGGGGGTGAAAAGAGAAGGACTGCACAACATCGGAAGCTTAGGTCTGCCGAGGATGTGACTGGACAGGCGACAATGAAGAGAAGGTGACGAAAATATGGAGCGATGTGAAGGGCTGGTCCATGTCTTCTTCTCCCGAAACGCAGGGCAGACGCAGACACAGACACAGACACGCACTCTCTGGCTTCAAAATTCTCCCCTTGCGTTCTCTTCCTGCTCGAATCTAATGAGAACTGACGAGAGAACACGCAACAAGCCTCACCGCTGGGTCTCCACATTTCGCGATGCAGGCTGCGACCTCTACTGCTTCCACTACGAAGCGGCCGTCAGCTCGGTCGCAGCCACGACACCCGAAGACAAGACCACGACGCGACCCACGTCGCCCAAGGAACTGATACGCTACATCCACGAGCTCGGCATGCAGGCGGGCATCGCGATCAAACCGGAAACCAGTGTCGACGTGCTCTGGGACATATTGGAAGCCGAGGACAAGCAGGACAGACCAGATGTAGGGAACTTTACTAATTCCCCCAGCCCCGTTGAAGCCCTTTCTTTCCCCCTCATCACACCCAAAAAGAAACTGACTTTGGACTAACGCATTACTGCCATCTCGTGTCTCTTAACAGATGGTCCTCATCATGACCGTGCACCCCGGCTTCGGCGGCCAAAAGTTCATGGCCTCGGAACTCCCCAAGGTGACGGCCGTGCGGCAACGATACCCGGACCTCAACGTCGAAGTGGACGGCGGCCTCTCCGAGTCGACGATCGACCAGGCCGCCGACGCCGGCGCCAACGTCATCGTGGCTGGCTCGGCCGTGTTCGGAGCCAAAGACCCCGGCCACGTTATTCGCGTGTTGAGGGAGGCCGTGGAGAAGCGGAGGGGAGGGGCCGGCAGATTATAGATTATAGAGTTCGTTTTTACCCCATCATAGAATTATGAAGAATGATGATGATCCAAAAAGCTGGTAGATACTGAGGATTATGGAGATAATGCTCAACAAAAGTCGGTAGATACTGGTAGAGGGAGGTAGGTATTGTACAGTAACTACAGTACGCAAAATGTTCGAGTTCTTCCGCATGCCGTTATGGTGATCACGTGATATGACGCCGTCGAGTTGTCGTTATCGCACACGATGAATTTATGTAGGTCAGTGACCTTTGAGAAACTCACCGTTTGGGGTAAATACCTTGTACATGTGCCTGTACTTTGTACTTGGTACCAAGAAGAGGAAGAAGAAAGAAGACGACGTGGATTTCCTAGGAATGTTGGAATGTGGCGGTATTTATTCAAGAGCGATTTTAAGCACATACATCCTGACAAGGCGGCCGCGGATATATAGAACTCTCCATTGTTCGTTGGTATGGGATGTGTAGACGAACGGAACTTACGCGGCCCTAGAACGCTGGAGCGGTCGCGAAACAGGCTTGAAGTCGATTTAGGATGCCCCGTCAATATGGATATCAAGCTCATTCAACCCTTTAACCAGTATTCAGGTCATATGAGGAACCTGTCTGTCATTGTTCAAGACAGCAGTAGATCCTGTTCCAAAAAAAGAACAAAGGGAATGCAGTAGATATCCCTCCAACCTCCCTTTTAGTGATATCTCCAGTAAAGAAAGCTCGTCAATAACCGCTCTTCCCCTTGACCACATCCCTCGCGCCGCCTTTCTTGCCAAACATGTCCCTGACGTCCCGCAACAGGTGCTCTGGTCGCTCGTAGGCGTAAAAGTGTCCGCCGCTCGGGTTGGTGCGCTCGAAGACGACGTCGCCCTGCGTCCGCGTCCAGGTGCTCGGCAACACCCTCAGCTCCTTGGGTTGGTGGCTCAGCCCCAGCTTCACCCCGCCGCCGATGTACTCGCGGGTGCGGTCGCGGGTGACCCGCGTGGCCGGGTTGTCCCACTCGTGCGTCGACTCGTAGTAGATGCGAAGGGTGGCGGCGGGGCCCGCGGTCGAGAACCAGTAGATGCTCATCCAGGTGCAGATCTCGTCGTCCGTCCAAGGGTACGAGTCGGTCCAGTCGCGCAGCTTCTCGTAGATCCACGCCAGCAGCGCCACGGGGGAGTCTGCCAGCGCGTACCCCAGCGTCTGCGGCCTCGTGGCCTGCTGCGCGCGGTAGCCCGACGACTCCTTGAAGAACCAGTCGGTGCGCTTCAGTCCTTCCTTTTCCGCCGCCGTGTACGGCGTGACCGCGTGCTGGAGGGCCAGAGTGGGGTGGGTCAGGAACGACGGGGCATCGCCCTGATCGAAGTTGACATGTGTCGCTTTGCAGTGCTGAGGGTACCGCAGCGACATGGCCCGTGTGATGTAGTATCCCCAGTCGCCACCTTGGGTCACGTACTCGTTGTACCCGAGCTTCAACATCAGCTTGTTGCACGTCTCGGCGTACTGCGCGAGGGCGAAGCCTTTCTTCTTGGGCGCCTCGGAGAAGCCATAGTTTGGCAGGCTGATGGCCACGAAGTGGAAAGCCGGATCGTCCGACCCCGGGTCCGGCGAAGGCAATTTGTCCCAGATCTTGACCGCCTCGAGAAAGCTGCCGGGCCAGCCGTGCACGAAGAGCAGCGGGATGGCATTTTCCACGCTCGATTTCTGGTGGAGGAAGTGCACTTTCAACGGCTCGAAGCCGCCCTCCACCTGGATCGTCGTGCGATAGTTTGGCAGCTCGTTCAGCTTCTTCTCCGCCTCCCGCCAGTTGTATGTGTCCTTCCAATATCTTGTCAGTCGCTGGACGTCTGCCAGCGGCGTGCCATAGTCCCAGGCCGCATCCTCGAGCTCGTCGGGGAAGCGAGCGAGCGAAAGGCGAGTCTTGAGGTCCGAAAGGGCGGTATCGGCGACGCTGATGGTGAATAGTTCAATGTCTGCCATTATGGTGAGGGTGCTGTAAGAGGAACACACGCGTGGTATCTAGTGGACGTGTTGCGCAGCTTTGTCGGAAGAGGTACCTTGGGTCAATTGCATGACTATATAAAAAGATTGAAGTGAGGTCTGTTTTGTCAGCTCCCAGTTATTGGCTTTTCCACCTACCTGCTGTCTGCAGGGCTAATACCGCCATCATTTGCCTAGGCGGGAAGTAACTGAAGTATCGATAGACATGAAAGGCGCAAGGCAAAGGCGTGAATGACAACAGCGCCCGGCAGTAAGAATCGGTTGGATGGAAGCCAGTCTAAGGCGTCAACGGGTAGAGCACCAAGGCCCCGAGGGAATTTGAGACGACCCCGCAGGAATGACTACGGAACCGAAAAGTCTTAGGCCCAGGCTATTCGACCCGCCGTATATCGAGTACCGAGTACGCTGCAATCAATCAAATTCCATTGCTAAACAAGGACCCGGAACTGTGGTCGGCGGAATCCGAGCTATGATTTTTGTTCGAGTACAAAAGGGAACTACCTGGATGATGCCCAATACCGTCTTACCGAACCAGGTCAAGATCAAACCATGCAGAAAAGGTCATGCCCACCCTCTGAATCAACAAACGACCAGCAATTGAAAAGCGTATCAAAAGGTGAGGCCGAGGGGATTGGCGGCAGCCGTGGGATTGCCTTGCACCTTTGGTCGATTTGATGTTGTTGATGTCGTCAGCGGCTTCGAAGCTGAAGCCGTGTTGGGCTTATTCGAAGCCTTCTTACCCGCAGCGGTCTGCTTCGTGTCACCGTCGTCTGCTGGCTTGCGCCGCATCGCGCCTGGGTTTGGTGTGGTAGGAAATTTGTTTGCACCCCCAGCTTTGTTCGCACCATTGCCTTGTTTTTGCTGCCTCATGGCTCCAGGATTGGGGTGGGTGCTTGTCTTCGCCGCCGACTGTACAGGCTTGAGGGGAGCGGTACCAACCTTCTTAGCAGGAGTGGTTTTGTGGGATGCCCCTGTCGATTTCGGACCTGGAGCTGGCAATGCCTTCTTTGCAGTGCCTCCCTCGATCTGTTTTTGAGGTGCTGCCGTCTTGCTCGTGGTCATCAACCTCTTCGATGGGGATGTTTTAGGTGTCGACGCAGGCGGCCGGTAAATCTGAGGACTGGTAACCTGTAACCTCCCTCCCGTCTTCCCTGCACTCAAACCCAGAGGATTGCTTGCCGTTGCTGCCCGGACTCCTCCTGCCCGCGTCCAATCCATGATGCCATTGCCATAATCCTTAACCCCATCTCCATATCTTCGAATTGTGGAATTGATTGACTCCCCAACCCCATTGATACTGTTGCCTACAGCATTGACTGCTCCACCAGCAAATGCACCAGCACTTGCCACTGTGCTCGAGACAGTGGGCGCTAGTGCCTCACTGACCTTCCCCAGAACCCATTGAGTTGCCATTCTTTATGCAGCTGGGGTGGCAGAAGGAGTAGCGGGAGTGGCCGACTTTCTGGGACCAAGCTTCGGAGGCTTTCGTTTGGGCTTCTCTTCGCCAGCAGATGTGGCACCGTTGACACTTTCAGCGGGCTCGGGCTTGTCGGTGCTGGGAAGTGCTTCTCGTGGCTTCTGGTGGTGCGTTGGCTGACGAAGGGTGGTCAACTTCTGTCTCGGTGGTGGCCTGGGAGTTCCAGCAGGATCTTCGACCACTGGCTTCGGTGGTAGTTTGGGTGCGGTGCGGACCTTCCACTCGGGTTTAGCCTTTGGAGCAGTCTGTCCTCGAGTGGCTGTGATGTTGATAAAGTCCTTGTCAAAGAAGATATCAAATGATACGTTAGGCATTGGAACCTGTAAACTTGCGTCTGCACCTCAGTCAAGGGTACAGACAAGACCAAATAGCATGAATTTCTGAACGTGAGGGCGAACGAGTCGTGATGTCAAGAGAAAAGGGTTAGATTTTATCCCTTGGATGTCTTTCTCTCTCAAAGCTTCCTCCTTTTGATCGGCAACAGGGACATGCGAGGTATGATATGGACAAGTCCACCCAATTGACTCTTCTGGTGCCTCCCACACAAACGTCATCTTAGGCTGCACACAACCAGCTTGATTGGAGAGTCGCAGCACCGCCACTGGTGCCACAAGGGTCCTTTTCCTGCTTTTCCTTGCTTTCGACACCTCCTTCTCTCCACTGGCAGCACTCAATCCTTGTCGAAAGATACGAATCTGGACCGCCCCGACCAGGGTGCTCTCTCAGAAAGCCCTCTTCGATCGTTGATGCAGCCCCAAAAGTGCGATGAGCCCAGAAGACTACGGGAGCGGGCAGTTCTGTCATTTGTTCGTATCTTCGGACCAGTCGTTCGTCTCCCTTCAAATGCAGCCGTATAGGGATCGAGAAGGCAGGGGGGTGCTGGAGAGCGCCACATTCACAAGCAGAATTGGCCAACGGCGCTTGGTCAACACGGGCTGGGTGACAGCTCCCAGACGGTGATCCTCTCGGGGCTGAAAAGAAACATGGACCCTTTGTACGTCAGTGTGGCGTTGGTAGAGCGATCCCAGCCTTTTCGAATATTATTCTGCATGCATCACACATGGCAGTCCGCAGCTGTGGCTGTTCACATATCAACAATAATGGGCGGGAGGAGGAAGAGAAGGGACAAACAAGAAAGCTTGCCATAACTACGGGTAGTCAATAACAATGGCTCCATCCAGAGCACCTGCTCTAGAGCCTGCTGCCGGCTTTTCGCTGGACTCGAGACCGGAGCGGCCTGATCGAGTCCCCCTTTCAAAGGGCGAATTCTCTGTCGCGTCCAGGGCTCTGGCCCTATCAACCTATTTCTTGTCTGGAGCTTTGGCTATCAACATCTCTCAATTTCTGGGAGCTCCCTTGCGAGCGATCAACGAGGATTGGTATAATGCATGGATCGCGTTTACAAAGCAGTCCTTCGGGCTGCTCACAATGACCCTCACCCAGACATTCGCGCCGACAAAGGTCATCGTCTCCGGAGACAAGTCGGTGCGAGGGCAACTTTTGAAGTCGACCGAGGGAGACCTGATTTTGGATTTTCCTGAACGGCTTGTACTCATCGCGAACCATCAGATCTACACCGATTGGCTTTACCTGTGGTGGATAGCGTATTGCAATGGGATGCATGGTCGCCTCTACATCATCCTCAAGGAATCGCTGCGCAAGATTCCTGTAATAGGATGGGGGATGCAATTGTATCAGTTCATCTTCTTGAAGCGCAATTGGGAACAGGACAAGCCCAACATGGCCAGTGCACTGCAACGACTGAATAAGCCCACAGATCCAATGTGGCTGCTTCTTTTTCCAGAGGGAACTAATCTTGCTCCAAGTACTCGCAAGCGAAGCGCCGAATGGGCCAAGAAGAACAATATTCCGGACACAAGGCACGTCCTGCTACCTCGAAGCACTGGTCTACAGTTTTGTCTAGAGGAGCTGAAAGATACTGTGGATTACCTCTATGACTGCACTATAGTCTATGAAGGTGTACCCCGTGGGCAGTACGCACAAGATATCTTCACCCTGAAAGCGGGTTATTTGGAAGGTCGGCCTCCAAAATCCGTCAGCATGCACTGGCGCCGATTTGCGGTCAAGGAGATTCCACTCCACAATGACAGAGCATTTGAACTATGGCTCAGAGCCCGCTGGCGGGAAAAAGATGTCATGATTGAAGAATACTACCAGACTGGCAAGCTCCCGGCTGACTATGGCGCAACGAAATATAAATCTGGAAAGATTCTTCGGGGATGCGGACATATGGACGTCCCAATCCGTGCAAGTCATTGGTACGAGTTTCTCCAGATCTTTGCACCGATGGGGATCCTGGCGATGATCCTGTATATCTTCTATGGCGACCTGCCGAAGCGGTTCTGGAAGAGCATCAACAAGGAAGCCCTTCAAGCAGGCACTGAAGATATCAAGAAGGCTGGTATACAAGCCGGCAAAGGAGTGCAATCTACTTCGTCCGCCTTGAGCGGGTTAACTTTGGACTCCTTTTTCGAGCCAGGGAAACAGGAGGAGACGTTCGCAGCTGGTGCAGTGGCTGTACAAAAGCTCCTCACCTCACCCCAAGCGCAAACGCTTCTTAACCGAGCCGACTTTATCCAGGCGTTCTTATCAGACCCCCAAAAGCTGGTGCAGGACAGCATTACGGACAGACAACAGAATTTCATGCAACAACTTGCCCAAGAAGAAGCCAAAAGACAGCAAGGGAGAATACCCTCCACTTCTCGTACGACTGCCCTGAAACCTGCTACCAACACCGCGGCCAAAGGAGATTTTTGGAAACAGGTCGAGGCAGAAGAAAATAGCAGGCACGGCTCCGTCGTCTCAAATGTTCCGAAAAAGGGCTCCTTTTGGAATGCCCTGGAGGCCGAAGAACAGAGCAGGCGAGGCTCCGTCATATCCGCCCCGACATCGACGAGCTCTAAACAATCAAAAGGTACATTCTGGCAGGACCTCAAGGCCGCAGAGGAAAAGAAGGCAAACTCGTCGGCAACGAAGCCACCTCTCGCGAAGAGTGGATCTGGAAATCTTGCTCTCCCCAAAGGAAATTTCTGGGATGCTGTGAAGGCCGAGGAGAACAGCCGGTATGGGACTGTGATGACCTTGTCGAGTAATGCGTCCACGGCTGTTGCATCCACAAGCTCTGCGGGAGGAAAGACAGTGCTCGACCCCCGTTCTAAGTCTGGGTTGACCAAAGCCCCAGCGAAACTCGACCCGAGTGCTCCAAAGAAACAGCCTCCCATACAAAGTGTACCAAAGGCGACGAATGGGCAGAAGACAATCTCGACCACCCTCCCTACCAAGAAAGAGAGCACCGGTGTATCAACCCCTGTGGCGGCGACGAAGAAACTAGGAACGGCTACCTCGACGACAAGCGCGACCAAAAAGCCAGCGTCCTCAACACCTTCGAACCCCACGCCCGTAGCCCCGAAGAAGAACTCGGTCATAAACACCCCTGCGAAAACGACACCTCTCAAGCAAACGCCTTCCTCTGTCCCCACCGGAACTCCCAGAAAGCCCGCCGGGGCTGCTCCGTCAACGGCCAAGCCGCCGTCTACGCAGAAGTCCAAGGTCAACACCAATGCCACTGCCAACACCAATCCCGGGCCTTCCAAGCCCAAACCAAACACGAGCACGAACGCCAACAAAGTCGGTACGACTGCGCCGACTCCAAAAAAGCCCACAGCTGCGCCGAATTCAGCAGCCGGAACTCCCTCTAAGACTTCACCAGTGACAAAGAAATCTACGGGGACGACGGGTGTGAAAGCATCTACACCTGTAAATGCGGCTGCGAGGCCAAAGCCAACCCCAAAGACCAATACCGCGAGTAACCGGGCAGCGGTAGGCACGAAGAGCACGACAAAGAATAACAACGGTACTGTGCCACCGAAGCTGTCCAAAACCTAGGAATGGCGCGACATGGGACTATGTGAAAGGCAAAAGGATGTGATGATATGGTATCGCAGAGTCTGCAGTGACCGAAAGGGGGGGGGGGGGAAATAGGACAGCGAGTCATCATCTTGGAAGTCAAAAATGTCACTCACTGGATTTACTTCCAGGTGTCAGCTTCCATGTTTAAATCTATCGAGGTAGCCAGGCTATCAAGCTACCTACGTATGTATGCATGCGTTTGCTGCTTGCTGCGGTTGCATACCCTGTCCCTTTGCGCCATCCCACGCCACACTGCACCATATCATGCTGTGCTGTGGCGTGGCGTGCCTGGTTCATGTCGTGATACGTTACATGTACCCCATAGCATGCATGATTTTATGATTGAACAACACAGTACCCAAGTTAGGTAAAGTAGGTAGGTATGATACCCATTGGGATGTTTCACAATGCGTTCACAGATATCACCATCACCATCACCATTGCCATATATACCTGTATGCATGCATGCATGCCATGGAGGTCGGTCGGATATCGGTTAGTCCCAGGTGACACGGGCAGTAAGGCCTTTTTAAACACTCGCGTTGCCCCCATTCCCCTATGCCCACGTCTGAGACTTACCTGTATATACGAAATATATACACCCTCATTTTTCAGCACCTCTGTTTGTCCGTGCCCGGCGAGATAGACAAAGTCGTGTTCCTTCCGAGTGTCAAGAGCTCCATCTCTCTGTCTCTCTTCCACGTTCTTTGTTCATTCTCAGCAATTCTCCTCCTCTCGCTGCAGCTTCCGGATTGAAGGTTGTTACACAACGCTGGGACGGTCCGAGGGCACGTGCGTCAAACAGCCTTGTCAGCCACAAGAAAAACAAAGCGCGTTGACGTGACTGCGGCGGCAGTAGTGAATGGGCACAATTCGTCACTTGTCCGTCAATATCGTCCGACTCCTGGATCCTCACAGACCGGAAATCCTACTGTTAAAATTGATCTCTTATATTTCTCTGGTCCAAGCTTTGCTCATTTGACGTCTCCCCTACTTTGTATTTTGATGGTCTTCCAAAAGTCGTTCAACGATATCAGTATTTTGGATTCTGTGGACAGCAGACTTACCTCGTCAACACGATCGCAACAGGGCTGAGATTGACTTGTGGCACGTCTAAAGCTCCAGGTCGACGCCACAGAGAGCTTTGGGGACATATTTCTACCAGATCTGTGACAACAATGGCTTCACAAGCAGCTTCTTTGACTGCCGCGCAGCTCAAAAAGTGAGTTCTCGTCCAAGCCCCGTCTGCTCACCAAGAGCCAAGCTTTCGATGTCTAGACCCATAACAGCAGGTTGACAATGAGATTGAATATAGCCTCCCACGAGCAGAGACCATCACGGTCCTCTACAAGGAAAAGGACGCCACCGACGGCGACAACCTGCGAATAGTGGGAGATAAGTTTCCCAAGAGTATAGCAACAGCCTTCTCAACGAAGTGGAAAGCCGAGCTCATTCCCAGTAATAAGACAAACGTTGGCGAGAGTCACAGTGTCATTGTCGATTCGATCGTTGTCACGGGTGGGAGCTATGGCATATGGCGCGACATCCTCAACTGGATGCTTGGGAGTTGCCAGGGGTTTGGCTTCGCTCAAACTCCAAGTCAGAGATTCAAGCCGTATTCATTCCAATTCTTTGTCCGCGAATGTGCGGTATCGATCGGCTGTGACACTCTCCAGGAACGAGCGAGCAAGCGGATGGAGCGCATCTGTGCGGAGCAGGTGCATTCAGAGGATGTTCGTGCCCTGTGGCTCGTCAATCCTCCAAATGAAGAGACAAGGGCATTTCTTGTTGAGCACATTGCCGTTCGATTGTGGGAGAAACGACTCAAGGCGAAAAGCGCATACTGGACTCTCCGAGAGGAATTCCCAGATCTGAACGAAAGAATCGACACTTTCCTGGCTCAGCTGAAGAAGGACTCTGCTGGCGATCCTCGTGGGGATAGACGTGGGAGATCCGATGTGCAAGGGGTAAAGGACACGACGAAGAAAGACGGTGCGAGGAAAGTTCGAGCGCAGAGACCGCAGGGACATGCAGAAAATGGCGGCGAGGGTAAGACGGTTGTCTTGAAGATGGAGGTGGTGAGGAAGGCAACCAAGAAAACCCCTGCTTATGCAAAGCTGGACCTTGCTTCCATCGGCGTCACCAGAGAGCAGTTCTGTGGATCGAGAGAATAGATCAAAGACGTCGGTCTGAACCTCGTCCACCAATATTTTCCACCTAGCGGAACAGTATTTAGACATCACTGATCCTCGTCCTATGATTCTCCACCTCTTACTTATACGTGGTCGGGGGAAGAAGAACAGTCGGAGGACGAAGAGACCGTGCCGTCAGAGATTCGTGTGGGAGCAGGAAAAATTGGGGGATGGTGCTGGGGAGCTCGGAAGGAGGAAGCGGCGTGCAGTGTGAAGGCGGTCGAACAGCTGTCGTATGTAGGTAGGTACTCATAGGGCGGGCGAGATCCCATCCAGTCTCTCACCAATGACAGGTCCACGGGCTACAGCATCGTCATCTGCTGAAGTCGCCTGGTGCATGTGCGTAACTCGTTCTCGCAGGGAGATGAACTGCCAGGTATTCGTACTCGTAGACACGAACGGCACTTTGTTTACAGCTGTGGATAATGGACGAGTCTCCACGCGACAGAGGCAGCCCACATCATGTCAAGCCGTTGCGGTGGCACTGCAGTGACTGCATGAAATGCAAAGTGAAGTCTGGAACCGAATGTAAAGCCCCTGCAGGAAAACCACTCGCCGAGATGGAAATGCCCGAGTACAGTAAACGGCAACACGCCACCAAAACTCGCTTGCTCGGCGGACGGGTAAGCTCCAGGGGCAGAACACACCTAACAAGAGGTGAAACCAGCTAAACAGATAGGCGGCGCAGGCTTAATCCGAAGCCTTCCTCTAACTGGACAAGAAGAGGGTTTTAGTTAAGACTAGCCCGAATGCATGAGCCTAGTAGGCCAAGACCCACCCCGCTGCACCACCCCGGAGACGCTGCCAACTTGACAAGTGTGTGCAGGTTGCTTCAACGCCACGCACCTAATCCAGAGAGAGACGCGACGAGACCCAGAACATCTCTCGTGCAGATATCTATCAAAGTTTTTTCTGTTCCTCTTGCATGCTTCCGGCGCTTCCCCTTTTCCCCAATCCTCGAATGGGAGAGGCAGAAAGGTGACAGCTGCAGATCACCATCATCCCCATCACCGCTTCCCACCTCTAGACCTCCAGGTATCAACGAGCGAACAAAGGAACGAACACTGTCACCACCACCATCACCACTACTACCACCAACCAACCCTATCACCGTTTCCTGGCCGCATTAGCTGGTGCCAATACGAGTACCCAGTCCCTGCTCTCGAAACCATCCATCCGATCGTCGATCTCTGTGGCGGCCGCTGTCCTTTCCACACTCGACTCGGCCTAGGCGCAGGGAGGCGCTTGCCCCAGAGCCAAACGATCCCTGCACACGTCGTTATCTCCATGTTTTAATGCATCCTTCGGTTCTCCAGAGTCAAAAATAATCAACTTCCATTCGACATCTCAAACAGTCCCCTTGTATCTCCTTTCCTCTCCCACGGCTTGTGGTCGGCTGGCCGCCAAATCTAAAGCTCCTTTTCCCAACGTCAGTGTCAAGGTCAAAGAGAGGTCGCATTTTACCCTTCTCTTCTGGCCTCCAGAGATTCACGGCAAGGACAACATCGGCGTAGTGAAGAATGCCCGTGCAGTTTTAAATCACCCCTTTGGAATCAGAGCTTGGGACCGGCAAAGTCAACTCTATCTGCCCTAGCCAAATCCTTTTCTGACCCAGCAAGGCTTTGACGCTGGTCTCAAGGCCCCCATACTTGGTTGATCTGATGGCAAGCTCGAACTAAAACATGCGATCCACGCCAGAAACCCCCGAATCTTCTCGACCGCTTGCGGATTACTTCTGGATTGCCGGGCTCGACGGCCAACAACTGGCAGACGCCATCTCTCAACCCCGATGGTCTTATGATCAGATTGACACCAATGGCGTCGACTTTTCCATCAAAGAAGAGGCATCTGTTGATGATGAGCAGTCGTCCATCCTTCAGTCTCCTCGAGCCTCGGTTGGCCATTCCAGACATGACTCCTACCAGAGATTGTCGCAGCTCTCCGACGAGGCGAAGGAGACCATTCAGAGTCTTGAAGACGCAACGAAGCCACGCAGTAACCGGAGTAGTCTCACCATTCGGGCGGCTGCTCCGACTGCCTCGGATCCTCGAATGTCCTCGTTGATAACAGAAGCCGACTTCGAGAAGGCCATGACCAAGTTCGCCACTGACCGAGATGCTTTCTATTTGGACTTGACATTTCAGCCCAATGAATCGTCCAAGCCGGCTCGATCCAAGTCGCGACCGAAGACACAGAAAATCATTGCTGAAGATGAGCCTACCCCGGTTCCCAATCGCAATTTTGGAAGTATCCGCAGACACCTTTCTTTCAAAGACATGTCCAGCACAAAACGTCAACCGTCCATGGCCCGACGGACATCGACGCGCACCTCTCGAAGGATGAGCAGTTACAACTCAGTCATCCCCAGCCCAGAGACATTCCATAGCTCTCCTGACCAGTATCCTCTGATGCGAAAATTCGAACCCGTATTGCTGGAAAGATATCCTCGACCAAGCTCTTTCGAAAAGTCTCAGAGCAGAGCACCGTTTCCAGACTATGTGCCCATGTTTGCTTTCCCTGGTGACATCAAGATTGTGGCCGCTGAGACCAGACCGCGGTCAACTTGGCACGAATTCTCCATGACAGCAGCAGATAACTCGAGACTTACGGCGGTCACAGTCATAATATGGATCCCCGTGAATCGCGATGTTGCCGTCGATCTGGAAAAGAAGTGTGAACAATGGCGAAAAGCTCACATGTCGGAGGCGGAGAGAGAATTGGCCACTTCACTTGCAGAGAGGTTGACGGCAGAAAGTGCGAAATTGTCTAGGTTACTAACACAATTGCCCCAACTCTCACCAGATTCAGCAGAGAGAGAGGCTTTGGAGGATGAAATCAGCGCGGTGGAAGAGAAGATTGCTGTTATGTCTGACATGCTCAGGCCCCTGCGACACAGTTCAGAATCGGATATTCAAGGACTTGCGGGTGGCGAAACTCGCTTCTGGATTCCAAGAGCTTATGGTATCTTGGGTAGGGACAAGTCCATGGCAAACTTCTGGCGGCAATGGCTTCGAGCGGTCGTCGTTCCTATGACCGATGGAGGGGTCTTGCGAGTGCCGGCTAGCTCGCCGAAAGTCGGCATGTGGCAGCCATTGGAAAGATACGTTGCTGCTCTGTGCATCGAAGCACCCTCTCCGGTGTCGTCCAAAACTCAGGTCCAAATTTCGATACGAGAACTTCAACTGTATGCAAAAAAAGAGGCGGCAAATGAGCTCCCCGGAAGTAGGACGACCGATCTGTATCCGCTATTCCGAGCTCTTACCATTCCGAACATTATCCTTCTTCTGGAGTACGTCTTATCCGAGTCCCGGGTCATTCTCCTTTCAACCCACGTCTCCATGCTACAGTTAGTAAGCAAAGCCATCCTGGAACTCATCTGGCCCTTCGAATGGACAGGAATCTACATACCGGTGTTGCCATCACGTTTGGTTCAAGCATTGGATGCGCCTTGTCCTTACATTTGCGGCATCGATCGCAAATATGAAAAGTACGACCTACCTGACGACGATTATGTTTTGGTCGATTTGGATAAGAACGAATTGTATAGTACGGCACCGCCGCCTTTCCTACCGAAACAACAGCGGAGAAAGTTGATGTCTCTGCTTTACCAAGCTGCACCGCTTCACCAAAGCTTCGGAGTGACTCCGGGGCCTCCTGCTTATGCGGTGGACACATATCCGTATGATGGCTTTTCTGCAGAGCTCGAGTCTACCTTTACCGCAGTCGCCAAATCCACAAATCTAGATAAACTCGCGAGCCTCAGCTCTACGATATTCGGCCCGCAGGCCGCAACTGACACCATTCGACGGTCTCCACTGCTGAACGTTTTCCTCGCTGCTACACCAACCAGAGGAAAGAGCTCTGATCGTCCCAGAACGTCATCGACCGCCAGACACTCCACGTACACTGATTCCGACAGTCAATCTCCCGTTAACCCCAACTTCCCTGTGACGCCTGGTTCTGGACCGTCACGAACCGATTCGGGGTATGCTCTTCAGACTTCTCTCAAGGAAAAGAGATCCGGTCACTTCGATTCAGTGTCGAAAAGAAGTTTCTCTGGGTCTAGTCATATGATTCGAAAAGCAAGCCTTCCATTCGTGAAACACAGTGCGAGTCCATCTTCGAGCACTACACTATCGGACAATCGAAATGGGTCTATGTATGCACCCTCCACTTACGCGCAGTCGACCCTGGCAGCCTCTACAATTATGCCTGGAGTGAACACACTGCATATGCGGACTGGTGAAGGTATGCACTGGTCTGAAGGTCACTGTCTGCTATGGAGAGCGGCGGATGGTCCATCTACATGTCTTCTGTGCGACGAAAAGGCTCCAGATGGATACTATAGATGTTCTGGGTGTGGTTTCGTCGTCCACGATCGATGCGCCCACAACATATCTATAGTCTGCTCTGCAGCTTTCTACCCAGATCAGATTCGTGCCGCCTTTGCGAGATGCATGGCCAGCTTGTTATACACTTACCGGAAATTTTTGCAGCCTGCACCTCCACAGAAAAAGAAGCTTGGGGCTATCTACTCCTTTGACAGTGACGCTTTCATGAGAAGTTTGACCCCTGACCATGCCGCCTACATGGGCATGCTGCAACAGACTCAAGCTTGGAATGAGTTCATCATGGACCGCGAAGAGAAATCATCAACTCCTTCGATAGCCCTGTTCGACGCCATCATCATGGCAAAACGTCGGCGCGCCGGCTTACGGTCGAGCATTCCCAGTCTCAGTCTCAACAGAAAAAGCTTTATGGCATGGTCACCTCATGTAGGCATGAACACTGACTTACTTTCAGATGCATCTCAGCATCAATGGAGGATAGTGGCAGTACCGGCTAGCGTTGATCGGCCAGAGCTAGGCGCTGCATCAAAGGGACGTGATTATCATACCATTGTCACCCGAACCCCTGCGAAGCTGGAAGAAGGTTTATTCAAGCAAGATGAGAAGGTCCCGAGCTTGCCTACGATTCCCAAGAGATCCAGAATCAGCATGTTGACCAGTAAAATGAACGGTCTTGGCATGCACGCCCCGTGAAGACTCGACACAAGACGCATTGATTCTGACACCTTTTCCAAGACAAATATGGCTATCCTACAAGTCACAAAATCAGGTAGCTTTTATGCTGCTTTGCGCCGAGTCAAGAGGTTCCCGGTGCTCAGGGAACCTCGTTCTCCCATTTCGGTCCGCCATTGAATAGCAAGTTGGCCCAGAACCGCCCTGCCATCACGTTTGATACTATCCTTGAGGTCCTCCAGCCCTTCTGCGACGCCTTGTTCCTGCTCGACCAGAAAGGCTACTTGTATAATATCTCGGGGTTTGAGCGACGGGTATTCCGCGGCAACATCGTTATCCTGTTCAGCATCCCAATTCAGCGAAGTCGACTTGAATGGCGGCTTCGGCTGGAGTTTGGTCTGTTGCAGCAATATCGGCGCATCTGATACGTTTTCCAGTTGTGCCTCTAAAACATAGCGCAGCAAAGTGGCCTTTTCATACGGACCATGCGCTTTGTCGGAAACTTTGACAGCTTCCAGTTCAGTGGTCTTGGTTCGCACGCTCACACATGGTTGGGCGAGGAACTGGTATAATTTCCGAAACGATCGAACCCTCCCGCCGGTGGCTTGGCCATCACCTGACAGGGTCTCGGTGTAGGTGACATTGACGGCGAGCACGTGGTTGCCTTCCTCCTTCAGGTCGAACCGAATGATCCTTTGTAAGGAGCTTCCGGGCCCGGAGTGACTCGAGCTGTCTTCTGTTAGATCATCAGCCGCATAGAGCTCTAGGGGCACGGCTTGAGATGGTGTTTGCATTTCGGCCAAGATTCTTGTTCCTGAAACGCTTTTGGTTGACTGTGCTGAGGGGAGTTCGTTGTTGGCGCAGAGAGCACAGGAGAAGGTCTCGCCGACATGAGCCGAACCGAAGGATGGCGGCAAACCCATGCTGGCGGACAAAATGAAGTTCTGGTCGACGGCTTTGGACGGGTATGCTAACGAGGCTGTATGAGGTATCTTGGTGTCATTTTCGCGGGGGAGAGGGTGTTGTTGTGCCAGCGACGGTCGGGAGAGTCTATGGGGGATGCGCATTAATTGACCTAATTGCCTATTTTCCCAACAACGTGTAACCAGTCACAGAAACACGGACTCACCTCAGCACTAGAAGATTTTGGCCAGGGTTAGCAACACGCAGATCAAGTAATGATGATTGTGTAATAACAAAACAATGATTCTGACCCAGAGAGTGGCATACCTTTTAAAGATATCGAGTGAGGCTCTTTGGGGAAGTTCCCCGTATCGGCGCGTGGGCGAGCCATGAGCTCGATCTGACAGACGTTCGGAGCGACATCAACTGTTATTTATCGCCTATTAGATGTAAGTCGCAAGAAGTGGGTGCAAGGCGAGACAATGTGACGAGAATACAAGTGGTCTCCCGGTCTGGCCTGACCTGAGCTGGTCTGCGTAAACGAGAAGAGATGAGGGAGTATCAGAAGGACAAGAATGAAAGTCGGTGGAGGTGGAAAGGACAAACTCGGCTTCAAATGACGTTCTCCCAAGGAAGACTATTAGCGGCGAGGATCTTGTCATTTTGTGGTCAGACAAGAGGTAACTAAGATTTCTGTGTTGGAGGCTGTTATCTTCACCTGTACCACGTGCGTCCACGTGCCTACGCTTGGACTGATTACCTACCTTTCCGAGATAGGAATAGTGCTCTGTCGGCAAACATTCCTCTCATGGAAGGCCTCAGACCTCAACTGCGGGGTATGGGCATGCTCGTCAACCCTCTGATGTTTTTTTCTTGACGAGGCTGCGAGGCTGTCTGTTGTTGGATCGATTGTTGTTCACGCATCTCAAAACCTCGTTACTCTGTTATCTCTCGTTCCTTCTTGCGAAACTATGTGTAATTGCCGGAAGTATCTGAATAACAATTAATTCACCAGGTGACCGTGTGGCCCCGGAGACCGACGCGGATTTATCATGGCAGTCGCATCATCAGTGCACAACACACGACCTACGCACGGCCTTGGACGCCGAAGACGCGCTATAGAGCTACTTGAGACCGTCGAGCTGTAGGTCCAAGGTCGGTTCTCAGGCTTTACAGCGACACGGTCACGATTTATATCCTTTGTCTAACCTGGATAACTTTGACCGGTTTCTATCATGTGAGTACAGATACGACTACACACTATCTACTTCAGCACTCAGCACTCCGGTCCTTGTATTCAGCATACCTCCTCTTTCGGCCCGAGCTCGAGTGAGTTTTGTCCACGAGCGAGGGCCGACAGCAGCTCCCTCGATGGCGGTCGATCAATGAGGAACGGCGAACTCCAGAGTCCTGGACCCGCCAAGTTATCGGCATCGGCCGAAGACATCGGAAAGGAAACCTCGGGTGGCCTGGCCTTTTGAAGCATGCCATGGCGTGTGTGATTTATTCGCTGCAAGACACCTAGACAAGAGGTGGTATCTTGCCATCTATCTGAGTAAAAAAAGTCTCCCGTCAGGGCGATGGCGGGGGATGGGTTGGTTTCACAGGGAGGCAGAAGCTGGTCATTGTATCAAGTCCGAAGCCCGTGTAGTCGTTCAGGCAATAAGTAGAACGTTGAAGACAGTTTCTCTCTCACCAGAAGTCGGAATTGAAACTGCAGTATTGAAAGAATCAAGAAATTAGCATACATAAACATATCCAAGTGACTTTATGCGAATGATAGATAGAGATGAAGCCGGGGTAAAAAAAAGGGGAGGGGGAGGGGCGGTTGTGCAAGGGGCATCGAATGACGTACGTCTCTTAGAACTGTTTTCCCTCCGTTCCTTTTTCATTCCCTCTTTTCCCCTCCGCATTATTCATTGTTCGCGAGTCACGATCCCCGTTGACCCGGCTGGGCTTGTAAAAGAGCAGTGAGTTTTTGCGGTCCGAGGCACAATACCGGAAAAGCCGAGGGTAAAGTTTACTTGGGGGTCGTGACTTTATTTGAATCTCTTTTGATAAAGAGCGAGGTAGGTATACATACGTATATTGTACAGACACTGACAAACACTACACGCACATACGGACACAGCGCGAGATATATACGCACGCCCCACCCCTAGTCACTCACAGACCGTAGACATCGGAGAAGGAAGAAATCGCGAGGAAAAAAAAATGGCCAGCTCCAAGATCGTAACCGTGGTGGCATACCCGTCGACGACCAAGGATGGACAACCCGCCCGCTTTGACATGGACTAGTAAGTCTGCTTCGTTCACCATCTTTCCTTTTTCCCCCCCTTTCCTTCGGAGAATCTTCTTTCCAAGACCCCGCGCGCTGAGAAAAGCGTTCGTGGTGCGTAGCTACCTCAAGACGCACATGGGCGAACTGATCGAGCGAGACTGGCGGCCCTTTGGCATGCGCAAGTGGACCGTCGAGTCGTTCCCGTCCGAGCTCTCCTTGACCGGCCAGACGCCGCCGTACATCGCCGCGGCGACCATCGAGTGGGACAACATCGACGACTTCAAGAACGCCCTGACGAAGGGGAGCGAGGCGTCGGCCAAGGACGTCGCCAACTACACGAACGTGACGCCCGAGATTATTATTGGCAAAGTCACGGGGTCGAGTGCGGCGTGATTTCACTCGATGTGTGATGTGTGATGCGTAGGATGGGTGGTCGTATGGGGGTTGGTGGTCCGGGATGGCATCTGGCACAGTGATGGTGATGGTGTGGTATGGAAAGGGGAGAGAGCGAATAGAGTCATTGGATGGGAAAACAGACAGTGATTTGATCATCTCTTCCCCCTGACCAAGATATACCGCCAATGACCGACCCGGTCTGCTATGGCCGAATGTCCTCCCGTTGTATGAGAGGTATTCAACCAACGACGCTTGAAAAGGACCAAAACGAAACACTCCCCTCCCACTTCACTTGCCTTTTTCTTTTTCTTTTCCCTATTCTCCCCCCTTTTTTTGATCACGGCTTAGCGAGAAAAAACATCCAGCTCACATATCCTTGCCCTTGAAGAACTTTTCCCCCTGCACGGTCAACCACGGAACAAGACCACCCTGCGCCCTCCCCTCACTGTGGCCCTCGCCGCGGAACTCGTGGATCTTGACGCTCGGCTTCACCGCCGAGGTATCGACCAGGACCTCGCCCTGCGCGTCGACCGCCTCGGCCTGGACGGTCTTGACGCCCACGCGATCCAGCTTCAGCGACGTCTCGAAACTCTCGCGCGGAGCCTCGCCAATGTACGCGCGACGGCCGCGGAAGACTTCGTAGAAGCGCCACAGCTTGGTCCGCGTGTCGCCGTTCCACGACACATAGATCTCCGTGGAACCCTGGTCTTCGAGCGCGACGATGGCGGGCGCCTCGTTGGGGATCCCCGTCCAGTTGTACCGGAAGCCGCGGTAGTTCTCGACCCCGAGACCCAGGTAGCCCGAGTCCATGTACGTGTGGAAGATCGGGGTGCCGTCGGGCTTGAACTCGGTCATGGCGCCCTCGGAGCCCCAGTTGACCAGGACGTTGCCGTTGGGGAGCAGCTGCGTGGAGCCCTGCGACTTGGACAGGAGGTCGTCGGGCGGGTGGAAGGCCTGCACGATCCGGGCCTCCCACGTCTCGGTGTCGACCTGAATGATCTTGCCGCGCGAGATGTTGTAAAAGTGCACCTCATGGCCGTGGTCGTTCTCCGTCCCGTGCGCCGAGTTGTCGTACAGGCTGATGATCTCGCGCGTGCCGTTCTCGTTGCGGCCCTGGAACCGCGCGTGGTGCTGGAACGCGAACTCGACCTCGGGCCCCATCTTGAAGCTCGACGACTTGCCCGACAGCTGCCAGATGATCTCCCCGGTGGTCCCGTTGATCTTGTACACGGCGTTGGCGTCGCGCGCCGAGATCAGGTAGTTGCCCTGGTCGTCCTTGTCGACCGAGTTGATGTGGAAGTAGTCCCACGCGTCGGAACTGTTGTAGCCAGCCCCTGCTTGCCCCGGGTTGAGGGGGAGGTAGGCCTCTACATGGCAAAAATCAGAACCCTGAACACGAGGGGTGATATCGTGTACCGGAGCAAGGTGACATTCTATAACGTACCTGATGGGTCGACATGCTCGAGACTGCTCCACTCGAACAGCACTTCACCGGTTTCAATGTCGAGTTCTGTAACGAAAGACCGTTAGCCTGGCACGAAAGCCCAACTTGCTCCCGAGCTAACCTTGAAATTTGGCGTCGACAATCCACTGCTGCTCCTCACTTCCACCGTACGCCGTCAAGTTGTACGGCACCGGGTGGTAGATCTGGATTAGGGCCGTCTCTTCGTTGATGATGTGAAACTCGTGCTTGTCCGTGAGACGGTGGTTCCCCGCCCGCAGCTCCCGGATGGTCTCGTAGTTCTGGTCGAGAAAGGTCGTGTGGCCGTGCCCGTGACCGTACGCGCCGTTGTGGCTCCCCTCGAAGCAGAAGAGGATGTCCTTGCCCTTCCACCGGCCGGCCTGGAAGTTTGTCGCCCAGATGGAGAAATAGGTGAAGCCCGACCAGACCAGGTCGCCCGTGTCGGTGAAGATGTACGGCGCCGCCTGGGCTGGGCCGTGGTGCGTGCCCTCCGGGTAGCCCGCAAAGGGCGCCATGAAGAGGTATCCCTTCTCAACCTCCTTGGTGGCTGGGATCGTGATGTTCAACGTCGGCGGCGCCAGGTCCGGTCGCGACTTGTACCGCCAGTTGGCCGTCGCGGTCGGGAGGAGGGACAGGCATGTTGTCAGGGCCACCAATGTGGCTCGGACGCCTGGGAAGCCAAGTGTCGGGCTCATCCCGGTTCAGTATGGGAGAATGAACGTACCCTTGAAAAGAGTTGAGGGGAGAAGGGGGGGAAAAAGGAGGGTGTGATTCTTCGATGAGGCATCGTTACAGTACAGGGGAGAGGCGTGTGTCATTATATCGAAACTCTCGAACAAAAGCAGCTCCATCGCACATCAGGTTATTACTTACTTGCCCACCAACCAGATACGAGTCACGACATTGCTCCTCACAATTCACCACCAGTTCGTCCATGAGAAAGGAATGTCGTGATGGGGAGACCCGTCCAAAGAGAAATGGGTCTTGACGATGGAGACGAAGCCCGAAAGGTGGAGTTTGACTTGATGTGCTGTCGATCCTTTTCACGGAGTCCATGTCCGTCTTGACAGCACACCATACAGCTTCTTGTTCAACAACCCTGGCAAATCACACAGAGACAAGAAATCTTCAACGGACTTGGACTCCGCTTCCTCGAAAGAGACCCATATCCGCACAGATGGGAGAGAGAGAGAGAGGGAGATTTTGATCAACCCTCTGTTCAGTATAGGCGGATCTCCCATGATGGCCACCTCACAATCACTCACGAGAATGACAAATGAATTCCTCTGATCCACCGTGGCAAAAGAGAAAAACACACCACACACGATGCCTCTTGTGCGACTTGCCCTTCCCACAATTTATCCCAGCGTCGAATCGAAATCTACCTGGAACATGCTTACCTGTCCGGCCCACAATCCCCTCCATTTGGCGGAACACAAACCTACCTACATATATTTGCGACAAATGTACTCTTGTGGCTTTCTTGCGGGCGCGGATATTTTGTGGTGAAGTCACATGGATAGAAGAGATACTGCGACGCAAGAGATGGGAGAGGAGGATCATTACACGATCAACGACATCCTCACCGAGTCCGATGTGACGACGCCGCTCCTCGCCGAGTCTGCTGGTGCCAAAGGGCGTCAAGAGAAATGGACGCCTGGGCCGGGTTTTATATGGATAGAAATTGGTAAGAAGGTGGAAACAAAGGAGGGCTTTGATACTTTGTGATCCGATGCTGATATCTGTCCAGCCATCTTCTCCAACGTCTTTCTCTCTGGCTTTGACGGGACCATCACGGCGTCAACATACGCGGTCATCGGGTCCGAGTTCAACGCGGCGAATACCATCTCATGGCTGACGACGTCGTATCTGATCACCAGCACCGCCTTCCAGCCGCTGTACGGACGCTTCTCGGACATCTTGGGACGGCGAACCTGCTTCTTCACGGCCACGATCACGTTTCTGCTTGGATGTCTCGGGTGCGGGTTTGCGCCCGACATCGTCTCACTGAATCTGATGAGAGCCCTGACGGGGCTTGGAGGTGGAGGACTCATGACCATGGCCACAATCATCAACTCGGACATCATCCCCTTCCAGGAACGGGGCATGTACCAGGCCTGTCAGAACGTCTTGCACGGATTTGGGTCCATCTGCGGGGCGTCGCTGGGCGGGCTGATTGCCGACCATATCGGGTGGCGATGGTGTTTTCTCCTGCAGGTGCCTGTCTCGACATTTGCGTTCGTCGTCGGACATTTCGTCATCACGAAGCACGCGACCAAGAAGTCAGTGACGGATGAGGAGTCGGAGGGCTCCAGCGCGGCCAAGCTCTCGTCGAAATGGGAGCAGATTGACCTCTCGGGCGCCGTCCTCTTGGTCCTGGGCCTCTCGGCGCAGCTGGGTGCCATGACCATGGGTGGAAACAACTACCCTTGGAGCGACGTTCGTGTCATTGTCGCCATGATCCTGAGTGTGATTCTCATTCTCGTATTCGTCGTGGTGGAGCTCAGGACAAAGGCCGTCCCAGTGATGCCCATGTCCATGTTGCATGGAACTCTCGCTATCTCGAACCAGATCAGTAATGTGTGTGTCGGTATGGCTGCTTACTCTGTAAGTTCGGACTCCCACGAATTTCCTTTATGCGGGCATTGACAGACGAACAGTTCCTCTTCATCTCCCCCCTGTTCTTCCAGGTCGTTCTACGCGACAACCCCTCCGAGGCCGGCATGCGTCTGGTGATCCCGTCCCTGGCGACTCCTGCAGGCGGTGTTCTTTCAGGCATCGTCATGTCCCGCTGGGGCCGACTCAGTGAGCTCGTCAGGGCGGGCTGCTTCATCATGATGGTGGGAAACGGCCTCGTCGCCTCCCTCAAGTACCAGGATGCCTCGTGGAAGTACATGGTCTATCTGTTCCCCGCCAACTTTGGCCAGGGCATCTGCTACCCCGCGATCCTGTTTACCTTTCTCGCCGCGTTTGACCACAGTTGTAAGTGGACCCGGGGCCCGATACCTTTGCCAGAGGGGCATGATATGCTAACAGGCATATAGACCAAGCCGTGTCCACCTCGACCGTGTACCTGTTCCGCTCCATGGGAACGGTCTGGGGCGTTGCGGCGTCGTCGACGTTGCTGCAGAACATCCTGGCGCAGCAACTCCCTTCGGCGCTCGAGGGAATTCCGAACAAGGACGAGTTGGTCTATCAGATCCGTCACTCGGTGGCCGTGTTGGACCATCTGCCGCCCGAGGTGCAGTCGGCGGCCAGGCATGTCTACTACCGTGCCTTGAGATATGCCTACGTCGCCAACACTGCCGTCGCGGCCGTCGCGTTGGTATCGGCGTTCTTTGCTCGGGGGAAACGTCTTGATCGGAAATAAGAAAAGCTTAGATCATAGATTAGTATATAGAGAAAAAGGATGGTCAACAGCGCGCAAGCACAGTTCTGACAATGTGGCGAAAAACCTCGTCAAAGAAGCCGGCTTCACGGTGATTGATAGAAAAGCGACTTCAAAAACCCCCCGAGCAGGGGACAAATGGAGACTTCGACTCCACGACCACGTTACTCGAATGCCCATATCCTTGATATACCACATTCGATATATCTAGGTTGAGTTCTATGCCGTGGATACATAACGAGGTACTTTGTCAAGCTGACTTTCGTCCACCCAGGGCTCTGGACAGGGCTTACAGAAAAAGGAACTCACATTCGAGAAGCTCGAAGCGACCGCCGAAGATGTCCTCGTGATCCTTCGGACGCTCGCGTTCCCACCGACCTGGGTGTTGACGCTGAAAACCGCATCTCTTTGCACGCCGACGTCCTTCTGTCCGCAATAGGTGGATTTCAGGCCCGGCTGTGTCGGCAAGGGTCTGCTACAAGGATAATTGTTCTATCAATCTTGCGGAACCCGCAGCATCCTTCGAAGGTGAAGCGCGTGGCGACAAGTCACGGTGAAGAGAAACAAGCTGGAGGATTGCCCAAGGCGGACAAGTAAGTTCCATGTGCATTCATTCTCCTTAATTTTGCCGCGGCAGATCCGATTGAGGGCAAGCTGACATATGTACCATCCATCTCCTTTTCACTCTAGGGTTAAGTTTTCAGTTTTCTTTGCACCATCCTCTCCTTGGTGTTTTTCGGTTGTCTGATTTGTGTCACGGGCGACCAAGACAACCCATTTGACCCGGGCTTTGCGGGATGGCCGAGAAGAACATTACGCCGCAACCCGCTGCTCGAGAACTCACTTCACCATGATCTCGACTAGTCGAAACTTTCCTTGAAAACGATATCTTGTACCTCGTTGATCGAATAGCTGTGTCATCACTCTTCTGCCAAAAACCTTTCAGCAGTACTTGCTAGCCGCTCGTCTGATGTTCTGCTACGGCCCTGGCCACCTTTTACACAAGCCGCATCTCGCTGTCTTTTGGTAAGTGTAGCATTATCTCATCAACTCGTGCAGGCTCAATTGACGGCCGATACAGATCATCCTTGTGAAACCACTAGGCCGACGGGGCGTACGAGGAGAGGCATTGTCAAACATTCGCTACACACGGTAGCTGCCGTTGGCTTCTTTGGCTGTCTACGCCTCTCAGCTACACGCGACCACCTCGCCCCAGCTACTGCGGCACCAGGAGGCAGGAAAAGCAAAGCTTCGACTTATCAAGGGGTCGCACTTTCTTCGCTCATCTCTCTCGGAGATTCTCAGAGCCAGCAGGAGTGCTTACCTCCGCGCTCCTTTCTCAACTAGTAGACGTACTATTTGCTCGCGACCTTTCCTTGATGCCGCCTGTAGTGCGTTACCATATTCGCCACCTTGAGCGTTCACCTCCGCGCCTTTCTCAATCAGTAGACGCACTACTTGCTCGTAACCTCTATATGATGCCGCCTGTAGTGCGTTACCATATTCGCCACCTTGAGCGTTTACCTCCGCTCCTTTCTCAATCAGTAGACGTACTACTTGCTCGTCACCATCTAATGATGCCGCCTGTAGTGCGTTACTATATTCGCCACCTTGAGCATTTACCTCCGCCCCTTCCTTAATCAGTAGACGTACTACTTGCTCCATACCTCCTCGTGATGCCGTCTGTAGTGCGTTACTATAGTAGCCACCTTGAGCGTTTACCTCCGCGCCTTTCTTAATTAGTAGACGCACTACTTGCTCGTCACCTCCCCATGATGCCGCCTGTAGTGCGTTACCATAGTGGCCACCTTGAGCGTTTACCTCCGCTCCATTCTCAATTAGTAGACGCACCACTTGCTCGTGACCTCTTAATGATGCCGCCTGTAGTGCGTTACCATAGGGGCCACCTTGAGCGTTTACCTCCGCTCCATTCTCAATTAGTAGACGCACCACTCGCTCGTGACCCTCCGATGATGCCGCCTGTAGTGCGTTACCATAGTAGCCACCTTGAGCGTTCACCTCCGCTCCAGCCGTGATCAAGAATTGGACTAAAGAAACTCTACCAGTCATTGCCGCTTGTTGTAGTGCGTTTCCAGATTGTTCCGTCATCTGGTTAATCTGGCCGCCACTGCTGACCAACAATCGGACAATATCCTCATGACCAGATCCAGCCGCATACACCAAGGGTGTTCGACCATCATGATCTTTGGGTTCGATTTCAGCCCCTGCTTTTAGCAAAGCCCCTACCACCGTTATATGGCCGTTCCCAGCTGCAAGGTGGAGCGCCCGACACCCATCGCCGTCGTTTTGCTCCAGACTCGTTCCTCGTTTTCGCAGCTCCTCAACGATATCAATCAGGTTGAACTGACACGCGACATGGAGGACCAGAGTATCCTTGGCAGGACAATATCTATTCCACCTATCCAGTGCCCTGAAGAGCCGCACCCATTTCGGCAAGGTATCCTGGAGTTCGTTCAGTCCTGGCGTAAAGTCCGGTCTGGAAAAATAGTGTTCATTCGACTTCTCCGCGTGGTGAAACAGCTCTGTAACGGCATATTTAAGAAACGGCGTTAGTGATTCAACCTTTTCGTCCCAATAGCTGTCTTCCTCGAACCGCACCTCTTCCAAGCCAATGTAGCTGAGACATCCCCGGAAAAGTACACCGTGGCTTCGGTGCACTTCGTGCCACGGCTCTGACTTCAGCGACTCGTGACAATACGCTTTCTCCAGCTCCCCAGTCAGAGAAGAGAGGAAGGCAAGTCCATGCGGCACCAAGAAGTCGTTAACGGATTGGTGAATCACCTGGACTGTCTTGTCTGTTTCCTCTTCATCGCTTATCGATTCAACGAGTCCTCCAGAGAGGCTCACAATCAATAGCTCCATACGACTGTCCGTGTCAACAAAATCTTCCGTGTCTTGATAGCGAAGACGAGCCGGACTGGTCTTGGCCTTCGTGGCAGCCATCGCAACGCGAAGCTCCGTCACCGTCAGTGGTCGACGGCCAAGACAGACCCAGCGCAGGAGCAGAAGCGTTCGTGGTCGATTGTCACGGTCAATCACCTGCTCAAGGATGTACTTGTATACTTCGCTGAGCTCTTTTGGCACTTCTCGTAATTGGCGACGGATCTCTGACGGAGACTTACCGTCGAGAATGTATTTCGCCGCCATCGGCACAACCAGACTGACCCATTGAAAAACTCCCGCAGCTCGTTGCGTGAGCTCCTCGACCAGACTTGCCAGGTAGGCCGCTCGTCAGGTTGCGCTCCGGCGAGATCTTCGATCTTCAAGTGGTCTTGTATGAAGGAGATGATGTCATTTTCGTTAAGTTGATCAACCCTTATCTCTGCACCTAGTGTCTTGAGGGGTACAGGGTAAGGGCGACATGAGAAACAGATTCTTATCTTGCTCTTTGTGGTACTGAGCGAGTCGTTGTTCAATCGGTGGAAGGACGTGGCGATCTGCTGGGCGGCAGTCGCACCAGCTTCGTCCAGAGCATCCACAAAGATCACCAACCTCCGCGATTGCGCAGCTTCCAACGCCGCTTTGAGAAATAAACCCTCCAGCTCTGGGCGTTGCCATTCCCACTGGTGGCCACCAGATCCAAACGCAACTTGCTTGTCCTCAAAGACTTTGCGAATTGGGCCTCGAATTGTCGGACATTGGGTGTAAAGCTGATTGAGGAGGGCTCGATACATTCCCAAGGATGATTTCTGTAATGGAGTGCCGCGGCCACTGAAGAAAAACTCAAGGCGAGTGCTTGGGGTACTGCCGGATTCGTCCTTCATCGCATTGTAGATGAACGACATCAAAGTTGACTTTCCTGCCCCAGGTTTACCCGTGATCCATAACAGACCCGAGGACTGAGTCTGCCAGGATGTATATGTGTCATCATGAAGGATCCATTGACACGTGTTTCGGTGAGCACGGTCAATGTTATTTCGTCGTTGAAACATTTCTGCGAATGCCAGGGATTTCAAAACCTCTTCAGAAAACGGAAAAAAATCAGTTAGTTGTGGAGAAACTGGTGATGTTCGGCTGGAAAGCGCCTAAACGCACCTGCGTCGGTCGATGTCATCCCAACGTGTTGTTCTGCTGCCCATTTTATGTATTAGCATTTTGAAGAGACGGCGGGTCTGCTAGGACATCCACCATTATCGGTCCATTTTTTGATCCACTGCACGAGATCCCTAAAGTTCTCATCGTCTGCAGATGCGAACCGCTGAATGTCAAGATGGCCTTTCTCAAACCCAATCTCGCGCGAGCCGTCGATCACCGCCGAATTCCTGTCTACGACCTGCAACGAAAGAAGCCTCTTAACCGTCGTGCTTACGCCATGTCTTGTCAAGGCTCGCTCACCTGTGTCACAGAAATTCCAAAGATCGCTTCTGCCACCGTTTCAAACACGCACACTGTATTCTGAGGCCCACAATGTCCTCCTAGATATCGCATGAAGCTACGGTGGAGCGATTCGTTGAGATTCGAGTTCGGCTGGACCACTTCCAACAAGCTCGTGCTGGCTCCCGTCCAATATCCGAAGAGCGACATCACTCGCCCGAAAAACGTCAAATTAGCTCCTTTGTGAGGGGTGCCGAGAAATATAAAGCCTTTAGTGTTCTTCAGTACAGCTTGACAGAACTCATCAGTGGTATCGGCAGCAGCGTTGACCAACATCTTGCCGAGATCAGTCTTTCTGGTCGATGGCTGCTAGCATTATGCGACCCACCTGCTTGATGATCAGTCCTCCAAAGCTGTGACCAATGAACACGAGAGGACGATCCCAATCCTGCCGAGCGGCACCAAAATGCTTAGCTCAAAAACAGACGATGATTTCGAGTGAGGAAAACTACTTACTTCTTTCCTTTGACGGACCCGGCGCAGTCCACGAAGAAGGTCGTCGCCATAGTGCTGCAAAGACTTGTTGATGGCACCGGTGTCCCACCGGGTGTTGTGGTTGCATACTAGGACCCGAATGTTGAGATTCTCTTTAGGGAGCAGATCACGAGGCCATGATACGGTGGGACCTGCTGGCGAGGATGGACGAGGCTGCCATGTAGTGGTCGGATTGGAACCAAGGCCATGTACAGCAACAACACTGTTATGCAGGAAGGCAAATATCAGCCACGGTCGCATCAACAACAGTTTTAAGAGACTTTCAAGCTGACTCTGCAACAATAGGTGGAGATTCCGAGTTCACACTCTCGGTCTTGGGAGGATGGATCTCCTCAACAGATGGAAATGTCGGGTGCCGTGGCGAGGCGGGGAAAATCAATGGCTGGAGAGGGGAGAGGGCGACGCAGAAGACAAAATCGACAACTATGAACAGTATCAAAGAGTACGCAGACCACGATGGCCATAGCTGGGGAAGGATCAGGACACTGAATTCGAGGAGGCCTAGCGCGAGGCCCCAAACACGATGGAAAAGACTGTCTGAAACTACGGTTGCCCACGCGAAATATGCTCCAGTTGCGGTAACAAGTGCTTCAACAGTCGTCATCGTCATATTCGCCTTGATGAGGTCTGCCTCCAGAGGCAGTTTTACTTTGTCGGCCTTGGTCGTTGAAGACGCTTTGCGAGGAGGGGCTGGTCGTGCCATTCCTAAAGTAGTGTAGCGGATCTTTGATCTGAAGGCCCACGTCAGGCCTTCGACGCTGAAGATGAACCGTCAGCCATTCCCCAAAGTTTTGCCGTCCCACACCACCAATTCAAGCAATGAATCGGACCCCTTTTGCTCACGAGGACGAGCTCTACCACCAGCTTTACATTACGTCGGATCAGCGCTCCGTTCAACGGCGGCCTAAAGCGATAGCTTCTGCCTCTCAGAATGGTAGCACTACAATAGACACTACAACAGAGAAAACCTATCTTCCTGGCCAGCCGTACATTGGCCTAGGGGACCCGAGGATCGGATCTTATCTTGAATCCGAGCTTGTGACGAGAGACCTCAACAAGCTCGCCCCCCACCTTTGGCTAGTCGCCAAACAAGACAGCTCTCATATATCATCTCTCACCCATCAGATTGTCAGAGGGCGTCAGATCATCATCACCGAGAAGCCGGAATTGCATCTCGTCTGGATCTACAATCGCGTTTACATCAAGCCAATACCCAGATATCTCTTATCACATGCGTTTTGGAAGTTCTACCTCATCGACAAACACTCACCGGTACCGGAACCGCTGAGACAAGACATTACAAGAGCAGCTCTTGGCTTTTTGAGGTCATACCGGTACCTGGTACAGCACAAATCAGACTTTGTCCTTGCCACAGACGACAAAGTACGGTTGCTGCCCAAAGGCACGCGCCATTCTGACTTTATCAGGTTCATCCGGCGTTTCGAACAGATGACGGATACTGACGTCTCGCCACGCTACGAGTTTGGAGAATTACGATTAACACGACTGAACTTCTGGACTAAGATATTTCTTCGACGCTACACCTATCAGAAAGTTCACGGGCAGTACGGCGCTTATTTCGCTCAATTCTACGGTCCAATCCTTTTCGTCTTTGGAGTTTTCAGTGTAGCTCTCAGTGCCATGCAAGTCGGCCTAGCGATTCAACCTTTCGTCAAAGTGGGACCATCATGGACGGTATTTGCTGAAGTCTCCCGTTGGTTCGCGATCTCGACACTTTTATGTGTGGCTCTCATAGTGCTGTTCCTTATAGCCATACTCGCATCCCTCTCGGGTCGCGAAACCGTGTTCGCTATCAAGGACCGGATTCTGAAAGCGACACCAATGCCTCTAGAAGATGCCGAGGCCAGAATGCCCGTGGGTCAGTGACCGATACAAGTGGTCTGCAGATCAAGTATCGAGGCCAGCTTCTTGTTTCTTTGGAGGAAAGTTGCAGCTCGGTCAGCACTCGGGGGAGCACATGCAAGACAATTGCATGAGTGTTGTGCTTATTGGAGCATGCTGCAGCAAGGCGCAAGTTGTGCATGGAATGCCGTAATATTTACCTGTTTCCAGGAAGTTGCGGTTAGCACATACGACGGTCAACGCTGTGAATGAAGTGGGGTCAGGAGACTATCCGTACAAAGGTTTGAAATTGATTCGAGGAAGCAAGCTGATGATAGAAGGTCCGAATCAAGCGTCAAGCGCAAAGGGACGAAAGTTGGCGCCGACTAACAATCTTGCTCACTTGCGATCAGCATTGTGTAGAGAGGCGGCTGCGCTCGCTGGGTTGCGCGGCGAGCCTGTGTTCTGGCTATTTTGGGCGCAATAGCGTCGCTCGGGCCGCCTTCTCGTTTCGGCCGTCGGCGACAGCAACGTCCATCCAAATCCGGACGCGGCCAACACGCGCTTCATCTTGTTGTCCACCCCTCATCGTCGCCGCAGGAATGCCTGACAGCGTTGCAAGAGTCCCGGGACCTGGCGGCGTTGCAAGAGGACCGACACCTTGGGCCGTTGCACGACTGCCGTTGAGATGCCTGTGCCGCCGAGAGTCTGCTGCTGATGCTGCGGCCGTTGCGGCCGTTGAGATGCTGGTGCCGAGATACATGTCCCACCTAGAGTGTTTGCCTTGTCCGACTGAGACTGCTTTCTTGTGCCTCCGAGAGCGTTTTGCGTGTGCTGCTAAGGCTGTTTGGCTGGTGCCGTGGAGCTTGTCTAGCTGAGGGCTTTCTTGTGCCACCGAGATGCTTGCGCCCCCGAGTGTTTGCTTGTCCGCTGAGATGCCTGGGCTGCTGAGATTTTTGGGCCGACGAGAGGGTTTTGTACCGCTGAGAGTCTTTTGCTTGTACCGCTGATCCGTGTAGCAGTCGAAACTAGCAGTAAATCAATTGGCTGACCACGAAGCATTCACCATCCGCAGCGCTTTCTTCGAACTCATGTGGTAGAGTGGCTGCCAGCATGATTGTATAATGAATGAGAGTCCCCGATATCAACTTGCGCGAAGCCCCTGAGCAATGAAGCACTTTGACTCAAGGGGGATGGCCAAGCTTTGACCCAGACTAACCCAACCTAGAGAAAGGGAACTTTTGTGACCATGACGTCAACTAGAATCGGGGCCAAGTATTGGGCACTGATAGGCTAGGCCGAGGCCATAATTTGGCAACTATGGGCGGCGAGGCGGGTGCCGGGCACAGGGTCCCTGGCCCAGATATGGGCGCGATTGATCCGTTGCTCAGGCTGACTACCACCATACTCAGTCACGTGCACGGGCATCTCAGGTTGAAAGCAGCGTGGCTCGGGGCCATGGTCAGGTCCAGAGATGGAAATGGAAAGTCCTCGTGTCGAGATTTCGACCTCGAAATGGCTGTATCTTGAACACGCCTTGCTCCGCCCTTTCGCTACCTCTCACACCCAGCCTTCTTTGCGTAATCGTATCACGTACGCGTCCTGCGTCCCGCACGAGACATGACTGTTGAAGCTTGACCTACAAGCCTGCGGTACTCAAAAGTGAGAGCACTCTCCAAAGAACCTAGTCCAAGACCTGCCGACTCTAGATCACTGGGTGGATTGACACATGGAGTCCAACTCCGTCCCGCCATGGCTAACACCCTGCCGCCCTACGACACGGAGTCCAAGTCCGTCGGGCTTCGTCGTCCATCGTCTAGGATTTCGCAATCACATCATTGTAAGCTTCCACAGTGGCTTGCCTCTACCAGCTACCAGGCAGATGATTCTCAGGCGACACGTCGAGTTCGTAACGAGGCTATGATTTCCAAGCGACATGGAGGTTGCGGCGTATGTATCGCGGTGTGGATCCCGTTTGGTCGTCGATGGAGTTGGACTCCGTTTCTCGGCAATGGCGTTATCTCTCTCACACTCGGTCAGTCAGTCACTATCAGCCAAGCACGAAAGAATCTTGCAAGCCTTGTCCTCCTTCTCATTCTCGATCTCGATATCGCTCTATTGAAAATCCGAAGGCTTTTTTGGAGTTGTGTGTGTGTGTGTGTGTGTGTGTGTGTGTGTGTGTGTGTGTGGTAAACAAACCCCTGGCCAAAGGTGTAGATGCAGATGCAGATGCAATACACATGTTAGACTACCACTGCCTAGTGTAGTGCACACACGCGCCTCATTAGCCCGGAAGGACAGATACAAGAGCGGCAAGGCTCTGGGGGGGAGGGGAGTGGCTCACGCTACCCTGCTGGCAGAGGATGATCACCCTTTCTTTGGAGTACATGCCACCGCTTGATGGCGTGCTCAATCTTCGGTCCTATAAGGAGAATATATATACCACCCTCGAAGCTCCATTCCGTCTGACAGGGGACGACCGGTCATTTTTTGATACCGGATTTTTTTTTCTGATAGATACCCCTGAGGTGTCTCTATACCTCACTGGTCTTTGTTCATTTGCGTGGCACAGACGTCAAGCATGGTCGAAGCTGCCAAGGGGAATATCACAGTGCAAGAGAAGACTGTCACAGAAGCCTCGATGACGCCGAGAGAAAAGGACGCCTCCTCCGTCGAGGCCGGCACTTCGACACCCCTGGAGCTTGACGAGCTCGATCGCAGAGTCAAAGACGCCTACACCGGTTCGACTGAGCAGCACGCCTTTAGTGTTCCCATCACGGCGGATTATTGGAAAGGTGTCTACGAACAGGCCCAGTATGAGGGCCGTCACCGGTTCGACCCTATGATCCAGTGGAGTTCGAGCGAGGAGAAGAAACTCATCCGCAAGGTATGTTCTCGTCGATGAGCTGGAGTGTATTGAGTAAATCTCTAAACGTCTCCCTCTCCTCTCCAGATCGATATCCGAATCATGCTGTGGGTGTGGATCATGTTCTCGTCGTTGGACCTCGTGCGGCGAAACATCAACCGTGCCATCTCGGACAACATGGTAAGCCCCTTATCACCCATTCCATCGCCTACGATCTTTCTGTGCATTGAGATATGCTTACTCCCTGAAAAGCTCGACGAGCTGAACATGAACACCAACGACTTCAACAACGGCCAGACCATCTACCTCTTCTCCTTCCTGGCCGCCGAGCTCCCCGGCGGCCTGCTGAGCAAGAAACTCGGCCCGGACGTCCTCACGCCCATCTGCATCTGCGTCTGGGGCACCATCTGCTGCTGCCAGAGCCTCATCACCGACCGCACGGGCTTCTACCTGACGCGCGCGTTCCTGGGCATGGCCCAAGGCGGGTTCATCCCCGACATGGTCCTCTACCTCACGTACTTTTACAAGAGCAGCGAACTGTCCATTCGGCTGTCGGTCTTTTGGACCGCCATACCTGTGACGCAGATCATCGGGGCGCTGATGGCTGCTGGCCTGCTCAAGATGAGGGGCATACACGATTGGAGCGGGTGGCAGTGGCTGTAAGATAGATCTCCCTTTGACATACAGTGTTTTGTTTACCCCTGCTGTGCTGTGCTAATTTGTTATCCAAGCTTCCTGATCGAAGGCCTCCTCAGCATCGTCGTGGGCCTGTCGACCTTCCTCGTCATGCCCGCCAGCATCACCGAGACACACCGCATCCTGCGCGGCCGCGCGACCTGGCTCCACGGCCACACCGGGTGGTTCAGCGAACGCGAAGAGAAGATTCTCGTCAACCGCCTCCTCCGCGACGACCCGTCCAAGGGCAACATGCACAACCGACAGCACGTCTCGGTCAAGCGCATCTGGAAAGCCGTCGTCGACGTGGACCTGTGGCCGCTGTATATTGTGAGTTTTTTGCCCCTTCTGAAGGACTTACTTGAGAGAGAGAAAGAGAGGGAAACGCCTCCGAGAGTCTGTGCTGACTTTTTTGCTTTGCGTGCGTGGGTAAAAAGCTCGGATTCATCGCTTTCATCCCCTTCCAGCCCGCGGCCAATTACTTGTCCCTCACACTGAGGAATCTGGGATACACCGTCTTCGAGGCGAACATGCTCGCCGTGCCGGGATATGCTTTGTTCTTTATCAATGTGAGTCTCTTTCCCTCATTCATTTACCCCTCTGCACTTTATTAGTCTATACGTCTATCCATCCATCCATCATTCAATTCGATTCGATTCGATTCTGTCGAGACCCTACTGACTCGTACGCCACGAAAAAAAGATCCTCGTCGTCACCTGGATGAGCGAAAGGTATCGCGAGAGACTCCTCTTCTCGTCTCTCTGCGTGTGGTGGGTGCTGCCGTTCTTCATCGGCCTCCTGGCGATAACCAAGAGTGCGAGCCCGTGGGTCCGATACGCGCTGCTCACGGGTGTGAATGGCGAGCCGTACAGTAAGTCTCGAGTCACCTTTTTCGTCTTTTTTGCCTCCAAAAAACCAAGGCCCAAAACAAAACTTGCAGTGATAGATAGAGAGAGCTCTCTCTAGCTAATACACCCCCCTCTCTAACAGCGCACGCGATCCTCGTCTCCCTCATCTCCCGCAACTCCAACGACGTGGGCACCCGCGCCGTCTCGGCCGCCGTGTACAACATGTGCTACCAATTCGGGTCGGTCGTGGCGGTCAACGTCTACCGCGACGAGGATAAACCATATTGTACGCATCCCCCACCAATCGTACTCCTTTACCACCTCCGCATGTCCTTGTCCTTTTCCTTTCCTCTGCCAGTCCCTTCCTTCCTTTCCATTCGCAGCAGCGTTGGCACGTGTCCCCTTCGAGGAAAACCCGAAACTGACCCTGCCTACCTATCTGTGTGTGTGTGTGTTACCAGACTACCGCGGTAACAAGATCCTCATCGGCATCACGTGCGGGAGCATCGCCCTCTTCTTCCTCGCCAAGCTGTACTACGTCAAGCGGAATCAGCAGAAAGAAAAGGTGTGGAGCGCGCTCAGTCCCTTTGAGCGCGGGCAGTATCTGTCCACGACGAGCGATACGGGCTCGAGGAGGTTGGATGTACGCTTTGTGCATTAGTTAGCCGTATCCCGACACCTAAGTAGGTGAGTGGGTAGCGTGGGTTAAGGAGGGAGAGAGGGAGGGAGGGTCGCTGGGCACTAAATAGATATATATACATGGAGGTGGTGGTGTGGCGTGGCAATGAAATGCTCAGAGGAATGATTTCTGGAATCTGGAGTCTGGAGTCTGTTCCAAGTACTCGGTACAGTCTTGATACCTGCCGCTTTAACCAGTTTACTCAAGACTCAAGAATCTGGCACATCACCTTTGGGTAAGCCTGCGACCGGCTCAGGGCGGCGATGCTCAGTGTCTCGCTCCTTTGTACTCGGTATGTAGCCTGGACTCCATCCGGCCTTTGGTGCTGCCAGCCTCCTACCCTGAAATTACCCCTACCTGTTGTTTGTTGAGAAATATACATCTTATCCAAGGGGAAGCCATTCCCCCCCAAGAATCCACCTACCTGCTGCCACCTGCTGCCACTTCTGCGCCTGATTAGTAGTCTCCATCACAACATCCGTAATGACAACGTAGAGCACTCGAGTCTCTCTCTCCCTCTCTTCTAGGACCGCCTGGTCTTCTACATTTTGCTGCGCCGTCATTTCCGCGACCATAATGACGTCAATATGGCGCCGTTCACGCTGCGGTAGATCTCGGCAGAAGTGACGCAGAGCTTCGTTGCGAAATCTATGAACCTGCACGACATTGCCGGCGACGCCAAAGGCAGCAAGGGCCTCCATACTGGGAACTGATGGCGTGCCGATCTGAGTTCCCACATGGTATGTCGGACGGATGAGGCTCTGTGTTCAGCCGACGAAGCTGAGGGGTTCGTTCTGCCTAGCACGTGGTCGTTCACACCAGCGATTACTGCGAAGAGGCATGATTGGATCTGGTCTCTTTGCTGCCCAAATCCCTGAGGCGTCCAATAGTAGACTGCATACAGCATTCGGCCCGTATGCGGCCCTGCAAGGGAGGCGAGTTCTGGAGGGAGCGACTCCTCAGTACGTCGCGGTGAATGCGTCTCTTGTGCTGGAAGATGAGGAAGTCTCAATGGCGATTCGCTCAGATCTTGGAATGGAAATGGAC